TTCGGACACGAGCAGGGCAACCCTCATGAATGAAGCTTTGCTTTCTCGGGGGGGCCTTGTGCCTTTCCGGTTGGTGAATTGAGATTCAGAATCGCAGAAGTAAGGGGTGTAGCTAAGCTAAACTAGCCCAAGGAAGCAACGCATAGCAGGTTGGAGACCGCTTCTGTGACGTCCATACGCTTTGACTGGGTGGGCTGCCCTTGGTTTTGCAAGAGAATCACGGACCGTCCCCATCCTTGCGATCGTTACATGTTTGTCGGGTGCGCTTGGTTTTGTGGCGGCCTTTCCTGGTGTTTGAAAGGGAAACCAATGGGAGCTCAACCATTCTGGCAGGTTCCACTATTCTGCGACCGATCCTTTTGAAGCCTCGTTTGGACAGCGTCGCTTTGTGCAGGCAACGTGCTGAAGAGACCAATGAGCTGAGCCAGCGGCTGAGAATCGGACCCAGCAGAACCCGAGGTTGAGTCTGGAGCCGCGCTTGAGCTGGGTTCTTCAACATCCTGAACCAGGGTCCCTTGAAAGATACATTTAAGACAATAAACAATCACTTTTACCTGCTGATTTGCAGGATCCCTTGAAAAAGTAGGTTGTTTTTGGACAACACCTTTCTATTCCTTATGCCAGATGGTAGTGGTTTCCCTTGTTGCTGCAGCATCCCGCTACGGATTGCGGATTCGGATTTGGGACCCCCTCCCCAATTTGAGTTGCACAAGCCACTTGAGTGGTTGGATCCATATCCTTGGAGAAGCGCCAGCGCCTGCAGACCAGGTTCCTGAAATCCATGCAGCCCCCCATCGGAAGCAGATGGGATGTTTGACTTTCAAATGTCAGGCATGGAAATGAAGAAGGTTCGGCTCAACATGCAGGACCTGTTGCGAAGCCACGAAGACAATACAAGTGTTGAAGATGCATTTGTCCGACCCATCCGAACTGGCAAAGTTTGTCTAGTATCTAGGCGTGGTTGGCCAACCCAAGATGTGTGTTTTGCCTGTTGCCTGCAGAGGTGCATGCGTCCTAGCACGCGTCGCTTTGCCCGGTTTTACGGATAGCTGGAACAGGGGTCCCATGTTTGGCCATTTTGCAAGGGCCAATGCAGAGGGAACTTTGTCGTCTCAAGCAACGCGCGCCCGGGTTGGAGCCTTCCGTATGCTTGTGATCTTTCCGCATGCCCTGCAGGAGTATGCAAACTCTTCACAGCAACGGATTCAAGACGAGGACTGGGCAAAAGCTTCATGGAAGTTGTGTGAAAGCAAAGGGGTACCCACGTGCTCTTGCTTTGGGGATACCAAGGGTAGCCCTTTGAAAGGGGTTCAAAGGTGTAAGCAATGGTCGAGGGGTTGAGAGAAATCATTCTTTTCAACCGTCGTTCTATTCAAAAAACAACCGCCCTGTCCCGGGGGCTTTGACAATTTGATGGTTTCCGGACAACCTGAAAATCAAGGATCCCTGAAAAGATGAGGGGAAGCTTCCTTTAGATATGGGTGTCTGACAGGGGCTTGGCCCAACCCTGTGATCGCGCCAGATCTCCCACCTCACCAACGAGATCTTGTCCATCCGCGACAGCCTCGCCAGCGAGCTGCAGGCCCCTCTGTCACTTGCAACCGAAAACGGGATTCTGATTGTTCAACGTTTGTTTAGCGCTCCCCACTACAAATTGAACTTGAGCCCCAACAGGGTTCCGTTTTTCGATCCAAAGCTTGCCCCTTTTGAGCGTGCAAGGGAGTGCTAAAGGGGTCAATATCCGGTTCTGGGATGCGCCCAAATGGAGTTGATAGTGTCCAGGTGACCAAAACGAGCCGAGCAACGTGCTGTTGATTAACCCTGGACATGTGGGGCAGTTTTGTTTTTGGAGGGTACTGGTTTCGTGGCTGGTTTAAAGACCCTTCGTAGAGTTCCCGCAAAAAAAAAAGACAAGCCATTTTGACGTTCCAAAGGATCCTTCTTAGTCAGGGCAAAAGGAGGCACCCAAGTGGACCTTGATCAATGATGGTTCCCTTGTTGAAAATTCCTCTTCGCTCAGCCGCTATCATTCGGGTTGGCTAGGCGCTGCGAGACGTGCAAGCTTCTGATGCCGCAAAGCTGTAGCTTGGCTGCTTCCATTTTTTTTTTTTTTTGGACGGGGTTCCCGCCTAGAAAACAAGTGCAAAACAAAGTTTGTACTGGGGGTCTGAAGAACTCACCTAAAACGACCCTTTCGTCGCCCATTCCCGCCTAGAAAACAAGTGCAAAACAAAGTTTGCACTGGGGGTCTGAAGAACTCACCTAAAACGACCCTTTCGTTGCCCACTTTTGATCCGTTTTTGGTGAAGATTCCAAAAGGTCGACCTTTTTCCTACTGGGTCGTTTGGGGAAGTGAGGCAAAGGAAAGGCGACCCGGAATTCTCATCGCCAACGTTTTGCATGCAAGCTCCAAGGGGAACCAGCAGTCAAACCGCAATCGGGCTTTGACCATGCTGCACTCGGAACACGCGGCACGCGTTCACCTCTCGTCGGAACCAGCTTGGACGGGACGCTTCCCGGACTTCCACTGCTTGATCAAAGGGGTACGGATCGGAGTCGGTTTGTTGGGCTTCCTCGCTGTTACACATTGAGTTTGGGCTCAAAATTTCAGGACCCCCCCCCCCAAATTGGGAGGTGTCCATTTAGCCCTCCCGTTGAATCGCCCCAAACAGGGTTTGATGAATGGGTCATTGCCAGGCACCCAAGGTTTGCTTACCTATCTGAGGGTTGTTGCAGCCATAGGTGTCCTTTTGATCCCTCAGCTTGCTTAGAAGTAGATGGGTTCGACTGGTTTAGACTGGTTTTACGCCCAATTTGAGCCAGGGGAAGCCCATCTTTTTTCCCACAAGGACACCTATGGTAGGATTCATGGGGAGCACTTGCAGTTTGAGGGCTTCGCATCGCTTCGTCCGAGGCGTGAGGCATTGGACACATCTGGTTGGAAGCTGCCGGCGCCCTAGGTGGCACAATCAAATTTCTTCATACATTTCTCAGGTAACCCTTAATTGGTGGCTTGGGAAACCACCCCTTCACCACCAAACCACCAACCCAAACCACCAATCAGAGGGAAGCTGAATTTCTTTGACGAGCCCTGCTGCCTATGTTCCCTTCAGACTGACTCAGAACCAGAAATTCTTTGACACCTTTCTGGAGATGCCTCCTCCCGGTCCAAAAGTATCTCCGAATGCTCAGTCGCCAGGCGAGATCAGCAGACGGCAGAGGTTGGCAAGCTGCGAGAAGCCTTCCAACTGGAGCTCAAGCATCTCTGCTGAAATGGCTTGGTTGAATATGTGTTCAGCTCACTCAAATGTGCAGTGCTTCAAAGACCTGGCACTTGGCGTCACAAGATGTTACATGCAGCCAGGGAGAAAGAGTCTTGATCATGGCGCATATGGCGCACGTGTGCGCACGTAAACCAGGTAGCCAAGGTTCACGTACCACCATTTTGTGCCACAAAATTTACGCATTCTCAGAAATCTCGGTGTTCTAGCTTTGGGTGACCAGAAGGCAAATTAAGCCCGAAGCGCCTGGTGAAGTTGTTTCATAGTTTGCAAGAAGGGCTTCGGTTGACTGGGCGGCTACTCTTCGAAAGACCCGAGGAACCTTCGAGACGAAGTATCCCGCGCATCTTGGCCTTGAAAGCATTTCCTTCATTTGTGGCGCTATTTGAGCATGATCAGAAGCACCCTGATTGGGAGGTGTTCTTACCTGCAAATTCAAAAGAAGCCTTCGTTTTATATGGGATTCTGGGATCCCTACTTTTACGCGGAACTGCTCTAGCAGCATCAGTGCCTGATCGTGGGGCAATGCAGCTCTGAATGTTTGCCAGGGCGGCATTGCTACTGTGAGCTGGACATCAACTTTTAGGACGTTGTTTTCCCACAGGCAAATGAGATTCAAGCGGTTCATCCCTTTGAATGGAGCAATGCAGGGTTTTCTGCATTTCCATGTTTGGAAACACCAAAAGTGTCAGTGCAATGGAAACACCCAGTAAATTGATCAACTAGTGTGGTTCTATTTTTTTTCCGGTGACCCCTGTCAGTGGCCAGCAAAGAGTTTCTCCATTGGGTCAAGAACATTGGCTCCAAAGGGGATCTATCACTACTGGAGATATGTCTGTGGCTCAAAAAGCTGGTACCAAAATGGCACCTTGGTAAATGGAACCAAAGACTAAAACGCGCGTAACCCCAGGTCTTTAATTTTGAGCCATACCCATATGTGTCTTTCTTTTTTTCCGCACGAAGAAGCAAACGGAAGGTTCGCCGACGTCTTCCGGCCGAGTGCGTCGGGCGTCGGGTTCGGCTGAGGCCTCGCGGGAGGCCCGCGGCTTTGAGGCCCAGGCGGCCTCAAGTCTGCGGACAGAGGTGGCGCAGCTGAGAGGCGAGCTGGACCAACAGAGGCGCGGAGTCGGGTTGGCGGTGGACCACTCGGCTTTTTTGGGGGGCGGAAGGGGGAGAAGGAGGGGGGGGTTGCTGGGGTTTCCTGACAGAAAGTCGGAAGTGCCAGGGCTTTTGGGTTGATTTCTTTTGGCTTCCTTTGGGTTCCGTTGGTTCGCGTTGGTTCCCGTGGGTTCCCTTTGCTTTTCTAGCGCGGATTAATCCAAACTGGCGGATCAATGAATGTGTTCTCCCCAATATGAAGCGCTCCCTGCGAAATGGGACACTCTATTAATGAGCCAGCGGTCAATGAATCGCGGGGTCGACATTACCAGGTACCCAAATTCTACCAACCTGTGCCAATGACCCCCACGTTTTCCTTCTCTTGGGCGACTACGTCGATTTGAACAGATCAATTCGGGACCAGGTGCATTCTGTTGGCCCCGCTTAGCCATTTGTGTTGCCTATTAGCAATCAGCTGGGCAGAATTTGACTGAGTTTCCCTTGGCGGGGTGATGGCAGAAGGGGACACACATGAAACCTGCCGCCTGGTGGGGTGGTTGAGCCCTGATAAGTGGGCGATCCTCAAGGAGTTGCCGGTTGCCCTGTTTGGCAGCCGCAGTAGCAAACATGTTGGGAAGCTTAGCGGTTTTTAGACGCGGTCCGACAAAAGCTTATATGTTCCCCGATTTGAAAGGATGGAACAAAGAGCAGGGGTTATTGGAACCGGCTTTCCCTTGAGCGTGCAACATGTGGGGGATTGGTGTCCAAGAATACGGACCCTGCTTGGGATGGTTGTGGAGGGAAACAAAGAAAACAACTGGGGGCTTTCCCTAATTTGAGGCAAAACCGAGAACTGCTTCGGACAGTCCCCAAACGGTTGTTTGGGAATACTGTCGGTCACTCAGACATCAGGCAACTCCAGTGGTGTGGATTGCTGGGGGGCTTTGAACCCCAGGTTTTGGTGGGTAAAGGAGGAGGATTTGGATTGGTTGGGGGTTTGAACCCCAGGTTCTTGGCAAACGGTCCCCTCCCACCAATTAACATGGAACCTGACAGGGCGGTCCTGGTTCGGACCATTTTCCTTGGAGGGGACATAAAGGGACTGCCGGGTTCCATGTTAATTGGTGGGAGGCTAAGCCACCTGACCTCCCCGCTCCAAGCAGAAGCTGAGCGCGACCCTATGAGGTCCGAGGCGAAGCTGCGATCAGACGAGCTGCGGCGCATTGGCTCTGATCGACTCTTAGAGCGGGAGGAGGAGCTGAGGACGGCGATCTTTGGACCAGTGGACCCACAAAAAGGTGAGGGGTCAACAGCAACCAAGGTTGGGCCAACCTGTGCTTTAACGAGCCAAAACCTTGGTGCAGAGGGGTCAGAAGCAACCAACTTTTGGGCCAACCTGTTTGAACATGTTTAAACCTCTTAACCATCACCATTGATTCCATGTCTTTGCCTGTGTAACCAATGGAACCCTTCAACCAAAGGCTGGTTACCTGGAGGTCCTTTCCTGGGATCCACTGCTGTTTACTCAGCCTTTGGATTTCCCAGAAAGGCCATAGGACATTCATTTAAAGCGCGTTCCCGGTTCGAACCAGGACGGAGCTCAAGTCTTTGCGCCTCGGCGGATAGGGGCGACACAGGGAATATGTTTGCGGAGGGCTATCAGCCCCAACCTGAAATACCCTATCTCCCACTAACATGGCACCTCAGAAATGGTCGCTATAAGAGGAAATTGATCTTCCAGGTACCCTCCCACAGGTGCCATGTTAGTGGGAGGGAGGGTACCTAAATTGGCTGATGGTTGCATGCAATAACTCGTATGTCAAAATTTGGATCAGTCTTTGTTAGAGGGTCAATGTGCGGTTGTCCTGAATGCCATCCAAGGGAACACGCCCAATGCCAAACCCACATGCACCCTAAAAAGCCAGGACTGTTTGTTCGGGTCGGACAGCTTGAGCCATGCCAAGCACTCGGACCTCTCGGCTCAGGAGAGCCGGCCTCACGTCCCAGGGCGCAGACCTGTCGGCGGTTCAGCGAGAGCTCACGGACCTGTCGGCACTGCAGGAGCTCAGCGCCCACCAGACAGATGTCCATGGCCTGAGGCGGTTTGGACATTTCCTTCGCCTTCGAAAGCCCACAACTTCCATTTGCTTAAGAATAGATTTTGTTATTTTCCCCTGTCGGTTTTAAAGGGAATCTATGACTACTGGAAATATGTATATTGTTTCGAGGGGGCGAAAACGCAAATGAAAGACAATGCAAAGCCGAGACCCAAAAGTTACCTTCTGGGCTGATCCCAGAGGGTCCCCTGGTACCTTCCAAGGATGCGCTTAGACTTCTTTTGACCCCCCAAAAGCCATCCTCAGAGGGTACTTGGACCCTCTGGCCTGATGGAAGTGTCTGATATTTTTAATTTAGGCATCTGAAAGGCCATCTGCTAGGGATCGCTCTGCTGTAGGCGCAGGGCAAGGGATGCCTTGTTTCCGGGCTTTCGGGGGAAACCAGGTGTAACCTATATTTCGAAAGCATTGAATTGAGGCTCGGTGCTGATTTGTTTATGGACAATTCGGGAGCGCATTTCGTGACTCGCTACTTGTTTAACTAACACTGTTTTTGTCACCCAGTCCACTTCAGGTAACTGCAATATGTTGATCGTGGCTCATGCGAGTCCTCAAAATGGGTGATTTTTCCGCATGTGAACCCCCCCACCACAAACCCCGACCTGTTGGGCTGCAACTCTTGGGGTGAGGGTGTAGGAAGCCCGTTCAGGGGCGACCTGGACCTGTGCAAGTCGGATCTCGCCACCTGCCGGGCAGAGGTGGGAAGGGCCGAGGGCTAGGGAAATTGGAAGCCTTGAGGTCAACCTTCCAAAGGACAACTTTTCTTGGGGGCCCTTTGGACATCAGCTAGGGGACGAATGTCCACCACTTTTGAGGTGGTTCCACATCGGAGCGAAATTCGAGGGCCGACTTCAGAGGAGAGAGACAGAGAGAGATTTCAGAGGTTCTTCCTAACTTAGAAAGATCCCCCCTACCTTAAAAATAAAATTGAGGGGGTGGGTAAGGTCTATAAAATAAAATTCCCGGGGGCTTCAACATAAGCAGTCTGAACAGATCAGGTATGATTAGGTAGATTTGGGATGGACCTTGTTTTGGACATACCCTTGAGATACCTCTTGCAAGCCAAGACAGCCCAAACCCTTTGACCAGCTTCCGCGGGGGCTGCCAAAGATTGATTATTTGTGATTGCTTCAGCCTTCAGCTACATAGACCAATGGTGTTTGGGCCACGCCTTTTTGGAGCGCAAAGGGGAGGGCATCGCTGGTGTGAGGGGATTTGTTGCATTTAGGATTGATAGGGGGCGAAGTTAGTTGGTGATACGTGCATTTCAGTGAGATGTCCGGGCAAGTGGCCGTCGAATTCTCCGCTATTACTCCTGTGGCCGACCGGCTTGCGCCCCAGCTTTACTTGGCACAGAGACGCAGCACTGCAGCACCTATCTTCTCCCAGCAAGTGAGCGTTGGAATCATCTTGATGCTTGATGATACTGTCAAGCTCCAGCAAAACAATCATGCCAATCTTGCTCAAAGAAGTTGCGAGCTTCGCTCACAACTGTGTACGCCACGCAGCGAGCGCGGTGCAAGTGTTCATGCCCGTCATCTCAGGCTGGGCCTTGCCTCAGACGTTAAACTCATGAGCCCGGCACATCCCGTGGTGGTGACTTTGTCACAGAAGTCAACATTCATTTTGTAAAATTTGGCAAGCACTTGTTTGAAGGGAACGGTGGATTGGGAGAGAGACATGTTGAGTTTTGGCCATGCCTTGCATGCTGTGTTTTTCTGTGTTTTCCTTTTGACAGGCCATCTTCGGGGACATTCCGGCCTGCTTGATGCCCCTCGGCTGACGTCGATGTTGAGCTTCTGTTGGGTCGAGCGCGAGTGCGCGGGTGTGCTCACCATGTGACAGGCATGAGCGGCGTATGCGGGTGCTCACCATTTGGCGGGCAATTGTGTAGTGCTGAGCGGGCGCACGTGAGCGGGTGTGCTTGCATGTGTGCAGATTTCTGAAATCAGCACGACCACACGTACGGGCATGAACAAGTGTGCGTGCAAAGAACCAACAGCCAGATACGCAGGCAAGCCTACAGGCCCGCAAGCGTGCCAGGCGAGCACCCACGAACCCACGGGCGCAACTGCGCAAGCAGGCGCGCGCAAAGATAGGCAAACAGCAAAGCTCACGCACGTGCAGGCAGGCTCGCATACTTAGCCGCAGGTAAATAAACAGCTATCGCCTAGAGATTCCTGGGAATACATATTTACATGTCTTTGCATTTGTTGTCATCAGTCATTGTAGCGCAACATGGCCCAACATGGATGTTTGTGTGTTTGAATGTGAGTGGAACACTCTGATCTGCCAGGCCTGGCTGCTGGGTCAGAGCTGCGCCGGAGTGAGACAAAACCAATGCGTAGCGTTTTGCAAGAAATTGGAAAATAAAATGACCCCCCCCTACGTCCTTTTTAAAATAAAATTCCCCCCCCTAGGTCCCAATGACTAAGATAGGGGGGATTTAGAAAGAATACAACCATGCCCTCGCCCAAACCTCTACAAAGTTCCCTTCCCCCCCGCCCACGTGGCCTTGGAGTTGCTTCCTGCTTTTCCTGGTTTCTGCACCCCCTTTTTTGGGGCTCAATCATCGAAGCTCCTGGACTTGATTGAAAGGGACCAGGATTTCACCCCCAGGTCCAGTCCAAACTTGCGAAAAACCACCAACAAAGTAGTTTTCTACTTGGACTCCACTCCCCCAAGTTCCGCGGATTCCGGCTCGCTGGCCGCTGTCTTGCCCGGTTTCAGAGTTTCAGGTGTCGTCCAGCTCCTCGCTCTTGGCCCAAGTCAAGTCGGAGCTGGGCAGCGTGCAGTCGGAGAGCTCCAGCTGGCGCCAGGCCCTGGAGGCTGGGCGACGCGGCGACGAGCCTAGGGAATCCCAGGCGTGGCGAGGTGTTTCGGTAGGCCCTGCGATCCGTTGTCCATTGTTTTTTTGGGTTACTTAGCCTACAATGGGAAATGGAATCAATAGACTAGACTTGACAAGATTGCAGATTCCAGAAGTTTTGGAGTTTGGAGGTGTCGCTTTGTTTTTGTAATGCTTGGAGCAAGCCCATTGTCCACTTCCATGATCCTTGAAAGGGAAGGGCACCGACCCCTTTGTGTTTACATGCACCCTGGCCGAAAGACCCGGGTCATGGATTACCAAACCTCAGCAAAAAGCCAGGGCCACACGCGCGCAATGGGCCACGAGCCGAACGCGGAAAACACGGCAGTGGCCAGGACCAGCGCTGCGAGTGCGGGGCTCTGCGGTCTGAGCTCACCACCCAGCGCTCGGACTTGGAGTCCCAGAAGTCCCAGCTGGCGGCGTGTGAGCCCGCGAGCTTAGAGCCCCAAGTCGGGCGAGCGCCGTCTTTTTGCGGGATGTACCCTCCCACCGGCTAACATGGAACCTGACAGGGGTCCTGGAAGAGCATTTTCCTTTTAAAGGGAACCCCTGTCAGGTGCCATGTTAATTGGTGGGAGGGTCGGTCCCCGAGTGCGATCTTATGGGCTCCCGAATTTGTCAGACAAACCCTTTATTTGCTTCACCCTGTGTTTTCCTTGTAAGACTGGAGGACCCTGCACTGGGACACCGCCCCATGTGTGGGGCACATGGATTTGACCCGATTCATTCGCCGTCACTTTGGGGGGACCTCCTCTTTGGGCGGTTCAGGTCTGATGTCTCGCAGCTCTCCTTCCAGGTTCCCGCCCTCAAGGAGGCAGAGCCGGGCGGGAGGGGGGGGTTCTCAAAAAGAGACCCCTGCCCCCAAAACGTAAAAGAGATGAACAGGGGGTGGGGGTCAATATCCACATCTTGACATCTTGCCCCTTTTCGGCCCTGGTCCCGCCTTGTGCTGGAGCGGCTTCCCTGCCCGGTCAGGCAACCCTCGTCGGCTGAAAGAAATCCTGATGGTTGAGCTTGTGGTCGGTTTTTTGGGAAGCATGTTTGAGCCAGTGGCAAGCCAATGTTTCGGTCGTAGACGGTTCAACCACTTGAGTGCCATGTTTTGGGCAACCCTGGTCGCATACTCTTTGGAGAAGCCCCATGCATGCAACCATGTCTCCTGAGGTTCCGGTTCTTTCTGTCCGGGTGAAATCTGGGAAGCATGGCGAACCAAAAACATGACAGTCCAATGCTATTGGTCAAAAGGGAAAGCCCTTTCCGGACCAGAATTGCACCTGTGCTCCTGGAAGGATAACATGTAGGGCACTATCTTGTTTCCTTATGAGGTCAGGATTGTCTCCTGTTGGCTTTCTAGGTTGTGAAGCCCAAAGCCTGTTTTACCATGACCGCTCTCCCGCCTTGCCCCCGCAGCTGTCAAACCTTTGCCTGTTGCCAAGAACATGTCACTCAGAGGAGTTCACGAAACCAGCCAGCTGCGGGCCCTTCGCCGGTTGGGCGAAGCGCTATTGTCAAGTAGAAGGTCAAACGCTCCGTTGCGAACCGGTGACTTGCGGGTCACTGACTCACCCACTCCGCTTGAAGGAACAGATCCAGTGAGTCGCCGACTCACTGGTTGAGCTTGAAACGGGTGTCTTGACGGTAGCTAAGCCCAAGCCGAGAACCTCAGCTCGAGATGTGAAGTTACAACTCATGGGTGTGTGGGCAAAGTGAAAGATCCCATGGAAGAATTGGACACATGAGCCCAGGTATGTATTTCAGTCTTCTTGTTTTTAGTGGCCAACCCTTTTGGTTTGAAGTGATTCCTCCGTTGCCCTTTGCGGGCTCCCGCTTCTGAATTGCGGGGTTTCCCCTGGCCACCAGACCTCCGGCGGCTGCTCCGCAGGAGCAAAGTGCCCAGCTTCGGGAGCTCAGCCTCGACGTCACCCAGGCCCAGTCTCGGGTCGGGGCGGATCGACGCAAGCCAGTCACGAGCGCTCAAGCTTCCCCAGTGTGCGTGTGTGTGTGCCTCCTTTTTTTTGAGGGAGGGCGCCGGTGTTTTTTTTTTTTGTGGGTTTGAATTAAAGGGAAACCAAAAGGAGAATCGCCATAGTGTGGGTTCCCCTACGCACCAATTTAGGGTCTGTTGTTGACCCCTAGTGTTTAAGCAAGTTTATCTACTGTACCGTACCCGTTTTATCGCCTTCTGAAGCCAATTTGGCAAAGTCACCCTGGATCAAACCATGTTTTCTTAGGCGCGCCTTTCACGCCACGCGTGGCAACCATAAGCCCTTTCAAATCTGGATCGGTTTGGCCTGTACGATTGTGAGTATTGACAAGACCACATGAGGCCAACCTTTTCAAGAAAAAATAAGGAAAGGCCTGGCAGGGCGAAACAAGTGCGCACAAGAGATCATATGAGCCGTTTGGAGTGTGACTTGTGCGGCCCCTGGTGAGACCCGTGAGACCCCAGAGCCCCTGCAGGACTCCTAGAAGAAAGGAACAATGAGGTTCCCTTCCCAAACAACGCACGGAATATGATAAGAGTTTTCGCTTAACATGGAGAAATGTCGCACCAGTGGAGCCTAGGGCAGTGTTTGCATTTGGGACGGGGGGTCAACTATAGAAGACATGACAGCATAAGCGGAGCGGAGGGGTGCCTCTCATGCTGCCTCAAAGACGCAGAATCGCGAAGACCTTTGCTGGAGCATCATTTATTTATCTTTTGCGGTGTCTGAACTTGGGACTGGTGTGCCGGTGGGTGTGCAAAGGCGGGATAGGCTTTGCGCACACTCGGGACATGTAATGCTCCTTGGGCAAGCTGATCAACAGGAATCTCGTGGAACGCGGCTTCTCAGCACACCAACGTAGTTGTTGGTCATCGGCCAGCTATGTTGGGTTAATGTGATCCCATGACCCCAAGTGAGGGCTTTTCAGGGGACCCGACTCAACGGATTCGACTAGGCGGGCTCCAGCTTGTACCAAAGCACAATCATGTGTGTAGCATCCGAAAGAAGCCCATTGGTGCAGCTTGCAACGAGTGAGAAGTCTGTGACTGCGTCGCTCCATCACAGCATATCGGTGTGCGCAGGTGCGCAAGGAGCATTCAGACTTGCGGAAGGAGCTACTTTTGGCCGAATGTGGTGATACTGTGGACGAAATCCATTTCGCACCACCAAACAAAGCCTGGAATGATGATTCCAATGTAAATTCCAACAACCAATGTTTTCCAATGGTTTCAAAGTGGTGCAGGAGTTCCTCCATCCACAGTATTTGAAATTGACGCATTTGCCCGGATCTATTTGTTGAGGAAAGTCACATGGAAGTAGTTTTTGCTTGTTCTGCGCCCTTTTTTCAGCGAGGGCGAAGCTTAATGCGCATGAAGTGCCATCGAAGCGTTAGGTTGTATGTAATTCCATGTTGTAAATTCCATTTGGAAGCATACAGTCGTAGATGTTGTTTCAGGATGATCGTTCCTCATGTTTGGTGCAGGGGCACTCTGTTCTGTCCAACCCCGCATCATCTTTTTGACTTTCATTTGCCGCTTGGTTTCTTGACTGCTATTGGGTTGGATCTTTAGACTTTAACTTTTTGGGAAATCAAGGGGTTTTCCACTAAGCCCCCAAAAAAGTAAAAACAACTTTTTGCTGGGGGGTCGTTGCAGCAACCAAGGTTTGACGGCCCCGGCATTTCAGCGCAGGAGCTGCTTGAGGCTCGCGAACAGATTGGCGGAGTTGGCAAGGCTCGGGTGGTCCCAACGCCTCCAGTTCTGCGCCCGAGTTCACAGAAAAGGATTGGACATGGCATGCTTTGGTGCATGTTGCCAAGGGATGTTAGGACTTTAACTTTTTGCCAACTCATGGGTTTTCCACCAAACCACTAAAAGTTGAACTTTTAGCAGGGGAGCAGAAAGCAACCGAGATGGGTTCCTTCAAGTGACATCCTGGCAATAGGAACTTTGAGAAGACCTGCTGATTCTGCACTTCAAGGGATCGGACCCAGTTGGAACCCAACTAGCCCAGTTGGACATTTGCCTCCCACCTAGAGTGCCCTCTGAGTCTTTGCTTTGGGCTGCCTAACCTGTAGCCCTCCAGTCGGCTCTTCTACTTTATGGGGGGGGGAATGCATGCTTTGAATGGTCATTGATGAGTCAGAAGTACTCGTTTGCTGGCAAGGCTGGGCACACTCCGGAGGTCAGCATTGTCAGCGCAACTTACAAAATAGGCAGCAAGACGTTTTCTTCAGCTGTCACCAGCCAATCAGGAACCCCCTAATTGGTCTGGATTGGTGGTTTGGGATTTGAACGGGTCCCTGCTTCTAGACATTAACTACAAGCCCTCCTTTACACCACCAAGCCACCGATTCGGCTCCAAACCACCAATTGGAGGGTTGATTCTAGAGGGTCAATGGGAAACCCAGTCCATTCCCACCAAGCCACCGAGTGAAGCTGAAGCATCGCCAAACCGAACCACGCGACTGGAGCGCCAAACGCCTCGTGGCCTTCAGGAGGCTGCGAGCACCCAGAGTCGGGTGCAGGCCCTCGAGAAGGCGGGGACGTGCTTTGAGCGACCGGGGCCATAGATCCCTTGGGGGCTTGGGGTTTGAATGAGAAGATTGGCGCAGGCAAAGAAGGCAAAAGAAGGCCGGCAGGTGAACGGAGAAACATGGGTCCGGTCCAGATGTGGACGTGGTACGAGCTTTACACAGTTTGGCCTGATCCGGCGGCTGGTTTGGCCTGCGCCAGGATTCGTCCTCACTGCAGGGCCGCATGGTCACCCTGCAGAAGGTGCGCAGCCGAAATCAAATACATCGGACGAAGCACGGGCTGGAGCTAGAAAGTCCAGGAGCCTGCAAGATGGTTTGATTCCAGGAGCGCTCGTCAATCCGCTCAAAAATAGTGCTTGCAGTCCCCGATACTTTGGATGAGGGCTGGGTGGGAGAAATCGCTGGAGATAGAGGGTCCGCTCTCGCGATTCCTGGTCTGAGTATGTTTCAACATGGGATGCTTCTAAACGGAAGCAGGGGGAGCTCAACATTTTGGACCCCAAAATTGCAAATTTGTGAGCCTTTGATATGTTTGATCTTACTCATGATTTTCGGGTGCACTTCTTTAACTTCACTCACTGTATGTTTTGGGCAGGCTTCTACAGAAGAAGTTCCTTTTGGTTGTTTAATGGGACCCTAAGCTCCTTAACGGGTTTCCTACAATTGCGTTTGAATGCCCAAATCGTACCACCAGGCTCTTAACTACTCCGGAACACACCCCAAGCACTTCTTAACCCTAGCCCTGAGCTCAACCCTCGCCGGAACCCAAACCCTAAGCTCTTCTTGCTTGTGGCGAGTAGGCAACGACCTTCCGGGTGTTGGGAATGAACCGACCTTGGGGATTTCCGAGGGATGGTTCTTCTCGGGCTCATTCCATTTCTCATTCGCCTATCGAACCAGCAAGTCAACCAGTTCTTTTTACCCCAACTTTCTCAACCTCAAGCCAACCTCAAGCTGAGCTTTGCCTCAACCACTTTCTCAACCCTAACTAACCTCAAGCTACCCAACCATCCAGCCAACCTGATTCCCCCAGCCATCCCCACCACCCACCACCCCACCACCCACCCCACCAGCCCTCCCCCAGCCCTCCCCCACCCATCCCCCAGCCCCAGCCCCCCAGCCCCCCAGCCCAACGCCCCACGCCCCACGCCCTCCGCTTCCCAGGGCCTCGAGCGACGCGGTGAGGAGGCCTCGGAGGCCCAGCGCCGGCTGGCGGAGCTGCGCCAGGAGCCCATGGCTCGCGCGCGGAGTTGTTCCCCCGGGGTCCGAGTCCAGGCCAGGCGTTTGTTTTGTTTTTTTCTTCTTTCCACGGGGCGTTTTTTTTTTTTGAAACGGGGCGTTGGTCTTCTTTAAGGCACTTCCTTAAAAGTGGTGTGTTATTTTGCCCCCCCCCCCCCCCCCGGGTTTTAGCTTCCAAAGAAAAAGTTCGAGGTTTCCGTTTGGACCAGTGTCGGGGAATCCAAGTAAGACTGGGTGAGATTTTCTGGGTGGAAGGCCCCGGAGCTGGGGATCTAAAGTGGCGATTGAGAAGAGAGCTATGGAGCTACCAAGGAGTTCTGTAAGGACTTGGCAACAAAATGAGGATAGACCATATGAAACAGAGTTCGATTTGTTTCAAGGTTTCCCGGACTTGGTTCGCCAAGCCAAAAGTTGAATTTGTGTTTGGAGTTGGGGCAATCAGGGCAACAACCACGACGGGAAGGCGTGGAACTGGTGCTTTGACGAAGTGCCGCGGTTGCTCAAATTGAAAAGGAGCCCTGCTGAGTTGGGTTCCAGCCTTCTGTTGCAGGATCTGCAGAAGGAGCAGGGCCAGGGAAGCAAGCTGCAGAAGGCGCCATTTGGCAGTGGCGTTAAACCAGATCGGGGTGGGCAGGTCGAAACCAGCTGGTCAGATCGAAACTGTCCCTTTTCAGGAGCAGTTCGCTAGTACGACCCATGAAGCCCCGAGTTTCAGGGCTTCATGAGTCGTTTTTTTCTTGGTTCAGCACGGTAATACGACCCATGAGCCGTTGCCAACATGTTGGTTCTCCCCACAAGTCAGCGGGCCAGGAGTTGGCAGAGGTGCAAAGCCACCATGGTGATGCGCGGAAGGCAAGGGTGGGTCCTGAAAAGGTTGAAGACCCCCTCCCCCATCCCTTGGCTGCTCTTTGGGTTGGGTTTTCAGACTTCAACGTGTTGTTTTAGGAACATGATGACAATCAACCCTCTGAGTTCAACTGTTTTTTTGTTATCCCAAAATGATGATCTTCAACCCTTTGCGGACTTTGCGCATTGGAAACAGTCTTCTTGTAAAAAGGCGAAATCTTTGCGGAATTTGCAAAAAGGCCGTGCCGAACCTAGGAGAAGAAAGACCGCGCCGAATCCTGGATTGATTGGATTGGTTGGACTGTTTGGATTGATTGGATTGGTTGGATTTGTTTGATTGGATTGGATTGGTTGGATTGGATTGACTTGGTCAGATAGATTTTATTTGATGGGTTGGATTGGATTGCATTGGATTGGATTGGATTGGATTGGATTGGTTTGATTGTTTTGATTGATCGATTGATTGATTCATTCATTCATTGATTCATTGATTCATTGATTCATTGATTCATTGATTCATTGATTGATGGATTCATTCATTGATCCATTGATTCATTGATTCATTGATTCATTGATTCATTGATTCATTGATTTGATTTGATTTGATTTGATTTGATTGATTTGATTTGTTTTGATTTGATTGTTTGATTGATTGGTTGGTTGATTGATTGATTGATTGATTGATTGATTGATTGATTGTATTTGATTTGATTTGATTGATTGGATTGGATTTGATTTGATTTGATTGATTTGGTTGGTTGGTTGGTTGGTTGGTTGGTTGGTTGATTGATTGATTGATTGATTGATTTTATTTGATTTGATTTGATTTGATTTGATTGGTTGGTTGGTTGGTTGATTTATTTATTTATTTGATTTGATTTGATTTGATTGGTTGGTTGGTTGGTTGGTTGGTTGGTTGATTGATTGATTGATTGCAGGGAGACTCCACAACAGTCACCTTACTCACATGCTAAGCGCAACAACGCGCCCCTATACTTCGCTGGTGGTAATCATGCTCGTGATGCAGCTGGTGGTGTTGGCCGCTTCCTACCGGCGAAATGTCTCATGCTTGCAGTGCAGACTGTCGATGCTTGTGATGCAGGTGGTGGTGCTGGTGATGTTTACCTCCCCCTTGGCCGGTGACGCCTGGGGATGTTGGCCTTTTCCAATTCGGGGCCCTGCAACATTATTGCCCTTTTCGGGCCCCAACCCGTGTTCTTGTGCGGCGCTTCTCTCGCGGCACGCCATGCTTTCGGTCGAGGTTCATTCGGTTCACCTCCGCAGTTCAGATTTTCTGCAAACATATACTACCAAAGCCAGTCCTAAATTAAAGCAGTTGGCAGTTTGCCGCTGAATGGGGGATGCCAAGAAAATAGCGCGACGTACCAACTTGCTTGCTCACGTCATGGCGCATTTGAACCCACAAGGACTGGGGCATCCGTACATGTGTGCACAGCTTGCGTGCATTCATTTGTTAAGCTTGGCAAAAAGCAATTTCGGGGGACATGCCGCGTTGGTCTGCCTTTGAGGGCCAAATGTGGCTTGGTTCGCCCACGGTCCCAAGCCCACCAGGAATTCTTGGAGCTGCAAGGGCATTTGAGCGACTTGCGCCGGGTGCGGCGCCCAGGTGACAACAACAGCCAGAGTTGCGAACCGGCCCGTGAAGGTGTCAATCTCAAGGAACCGACAAGAGATGGATCATGTACAGAAGGTGATATACACCTTTTCGCCTCGCAACATGAGACCCAAAGAGGGCCCCCGCGAAAAGGCCCCAGCAAAGCGCGACAAACTGCCAGGCAATCTGTGGGAGGGAGTGTGCGGCGGGTCGCAGAGATGCAAGGGCAGTGGGTATGGTAGGAGACCTTTCAAACCACAATCTCTAGGGTAGATGAAGGCTGAGAGATGATCCCAACCACAAATCGGTGCCGTCGCCGCCTTAATTCTGGACATGGTTCTAGGTAGGCGATTTTAATGTCGGGTTTTGGTTTGTGACTCATTTGGCCATGGGGCATAACCTATGGCTCCATTTTGGGGTGGATGAACATCCATTTGCAACCTATTTTGATGTTCACCAGGGGCTTCCAGGGTTTTGACCCACAGCCATTTGCCCGTCCGAGGAAGTTGCAAGGAAGGATAGCGCAGCCCTGGACTTCCGACAGGCTCACGGCTTTTGAGTTTGGCCCGGGCAGCCATCGCTCGCTTCTTCCCGGGGTCCGAGCACTTGCACCCAAGGACAATCATGATGATGTGTGTGTTGCCTCCTAGAAGCTATGTGAAATCAAAAACAAAGACGGGTCAAAGAAAGGCAGAGGCCTTCGGACTCGGAAATCAGCAGGTTGGAAGGTTGGGTTTCACAAAGGACCGGCCCAAACGTTAAGGTTTCCAGGTGTTTACCTGGTGAAGCCTGGGTGAAGCCAGACGGAAGTGAAAGGGAACCGCCGCTGAGAGCAGAATGCGGACGATTGCTTTTCAGGGGTCGCAAACGTAGGCGGCCGAATAGGAGGGGCTAAACATATAATGATATTCCAAACGTGTTCAAGGAACATAACTTGGCTTTATTTTTACGGTTATACTCCACAACCCCAGTTGTTACATTGTGCGGCGTCACACTTGTTTTGGTTTGACGGGTTTTCCGCCAACAGTTGTCAATGCAAAAAAGTTGCTCTGTTTATCACGCAGGGGTCACTGGATGCAGCTGGGCCATGTTATGTTTTATTGGAACCCTTGCATTATGCAGGAGATGGAGAAGACCCGGGCAGCAGAGAACGAGCTTCGCAAGGCGGGATGGCGCAGTTTTGTCGACTGGGAGAAAGAGTCAAGCCGAGGCAAAGTGAATTGTGTATACTGTATACGATTCGTTTTAGTTGAATGTCGGCTTGATGGTTTTTAGAGGTGTCCCCAAGAAACTCTAGGGTGAATTTGAGCTGCTCATTCAGGTTTCCGATTGCAACTGGACATTTTCGTGTCCGGCTCATTCCCTCTCATTTTGATTCACGTGCCAGCAGTTCGTCCGCGCCTCACAGGACTTGACTCTCGCTTACCAGTTGGAAGCGGCGAACCTCCGCAAGGAGAATGCGTTCCATGGAGCGCAAGGTTTCGCCGAATTCGTTTTCCTGCACCCAGCGGTTTGGCCAGGGCCGCTGGTTTTAGCCCAAGCCAAAAGCGCACCTCGCCATGTTGAGGTCGCTTTGGTTGCAAGGTGAATAGGAGGATGGCATTGGATTTCCAGCCGCCAAACATCACCCGATCGGGTTTTTCTTCAAAGGTATGAGGGCTGTCGTGATGCGATCCGGGGGACAGGACACCGCCCCTTCACCCTGTTTGTGCCGGGCTGTGGCCGTTTACTGCACAAATCTGCAAAATCAGAGGAGCTTCTGCAGAAAGAGGAGGGCCTGAACGGCGAATTTGCCGCCGCACAGGCGGACCGTTGCGGTCTTCTTGCCGTGCCCGTGTCACCCGCCACAACTGTCGACAGGCACGGGTGAAGGAGCAGATTGCCAATGAAGTGAGGACGCGCACTGCTCCACCGGCCGTACGCCTTGCCTATGTCCCCCAGTAGTGCCCTTTTACACTATTTTTAGGGAGGGTTCCCCTACTAAAATAGACTACAGAAAAAAGGGTACCCTTATTCTAACCCCTCTACTGGAGGACCTGGTTGCCGTTCGTTGCCACCTGTCAGGAGGTTGATGAATGAGGCCGGGAGCACAGCTCGTCGCAGGGGCGCGCAAGGGCCCTTTCTAGATCTCGGTTGGCCGGTTGACGACAGGTGCCCCTCGCAGGTTTCTTAACGTTTCTTATGAGGTCTTTGAGCTTTGCCAGGGTCCCAGAAGATCCCGGCAGTGCCATGTTGGTGGCTGCGGGGACACCTACCTGATGATAACTTTCAATGCCCCATGTTCAGGAGCCCGAAGAACCGAAGCTCCTGTAGGAAAAACAATGTGAGGTGATTGCAACAGGTCGTGGGCCAAATTGTTGGGCGTTTCGGGAGGAATGGGCGACACCGCAAACAAGCGCTTCGATTCGTGCAGGTATTGATCTTGTTTTTGTGGTTTCGCTTGTAGGTATTCCAAGCAGTTGGACCAGGGCAGGCTAGGGCTTCCGGGCTGCTAGAGACAGGGGATTCGGTGCAGCCCGATGCCTCCAGGATATTTTCCTGGATTTTGCGAGGTGCACAGCATCGCCCAGCGCGGCCATCAAACAGAACAGCAGCTCAAGGACGAGGCGTTGGGAAAACTTACCCTATCTCCCACTAACATGGCAACTGACAGGGTGTCCCTCCAAGAGGAAACAAGTCTTAAAGGTACCCTCCTACAAATGAAATGTTAGTGGGAGGGAGGGTAAAGGGGCAGGGCACTTAGCAAATGGTAAGCAACTCTGGCTATTAGCGACTTAGGAATTACAACCATGGTTCCTAACCACTTACTGAGCACCCCAGCCCTGCCCCTTTGAGTATTGGCGGGTAGGTGGTGGTTTCGACCAGTAGTCGCTTAGTTATGTTAGGGTGTCCTAATTTTATCCGGAGGCCGCAACTCCCTCTCATCGTCCATGAGAGTGGTTTTTGATCGGGGTTCAACATTTGCAGATGTTTTATGCAATTTCACTACCCTCCTTGCAATAGATTTCTCATGACAGTGATCAGTGGTTTTCAGCATCAACCAAGCCCATCGGTAGCCTCATCCCATTGGAATCGTGTTCCATGCTTGTCAGGCAAGCCCTTCTGGGTTTTGGGGAGGCGCCCGTTGGCCCTTTTGTGGAGCATTCCCAGTTGTGAGTGCGCTGGCAAGTTTGAAAAGAGCGTATCAAATGCACGAAATCTCCGCTGTGGTCTTCTTCGCAACTCGTGCGCGCACGCGGGTGGAAGTAATATCCTAGCTGCCCAACATGGCGCCGGCCTGTTGATCTTTTAGGCTTTTAGGTGCCTGTCAACAAGTGACAAGGGTGCAAAGCCTTTGCTGGTGCCGTGAGCCCACGGCCTCACCATGGCCTAATCATGACCATGTGACCAGGGCACCCTCTCCGGCGCTCGCTGACGTTGGCGGGGGAATGGTCATTTGGCCAGATGCTTTTTCCAGGTGCTGCGGCTAGGCAAAGGCCTCCGGAAAACAGAAGAGGACCGGCAGTTTCCTTCGGGCTGCGAGTGGTTCGCCTTTTGGGCCAGTGCAAGTGCCATAGGGTGTGTGCAGCATTTGCGAAACGGAGCTCCTCAGAAACATGGCAGGGCCGGAGAAACAGTGCTGAATTGTTGGCATTGGAACACGAGAGGGCGGGGTGTCTTGAGCCCCTTGACGCCAGGTGTTTGAGCCTGTTTCCTTTCAGAAATGGTTTTCCTCCTGAAGAGCACGTACTGCTTATGGCCTTGTTTCCCCCCAAAATGGTGGTCCTTCTAAAACCATTGGTTTTTTTGGTTGTCCATGTGAATTTGCAAGAACTTGTTTCAAATCTTTGCCATCCCCGAAATCAAATTTGCCATCCCCCCGCTGCCAACGCAGCCAGCCGCCGTGGGCTCTTGACGCACTTGAAGTTGCCTCCTTTCCGCAAGGGAAGGCGACAGATTATGGCCCGGTTTGTGATGTTTCTCAAAACGCAAAGGTCCCCCCCCCAAAATGGTGGGTTTTCCTTGACTTCCTTAAAGATTCCAGCCAAACGGGCGTTTTTCCAACCAACAGACACGGTGCGCAGGAGGCCTCAGAGCTCCGCAAGGAGGTCCACGAGGCCAGGAATTTGTCCAGGGCCTGGTTGGCCAGGGACGAGGTTTTAATTCCCAGTTTCCAGGGGCTCCTCGTGCCACGCATTCGCGTCGTCTCGTTTGCAAAGTTTGGTCTGGATTCACTGAGTACGATAGAAACTCTAAAGTGCCAACACTCCCAAGGAGGATTATTGGGTGACTGCTTGCGGTTTGTAGACGTTTTCCACAACAGTAGCATCCACCTTAGTGCTTAGGACTTGTGGCTTACATGTTGCCCACTGACTGAGCTCTCTCCTCGTCTAAGGGTTTTTGTATTACACCCTGGGAATACACCCACTGGGTATTGACCCCATTTAGGCACATTTCCTTTCCCAAGGGTGTAATCCCAGGGTGTAATACAAAAGCCCTCAGACCTTCGCATCTCTGGCTCGGAAATCCTGTGAGCCCAACCTCTCCGCTTGGCGCTTTCTAGGCCTGCAGCGCCATTGAGGACCAGCGACGGGAGGTGCGACTCGAAATTCGTGGTGGATCCCAATGGATCAGCGAGGACTCGTTGCAGTGGTTCGCGTTGTCCTCAGGTTGACGCGCATCTCTCCCTGCGGATCAGCGAGGCCGTTGGGAGCAAACCTGTGAAGCAACCTCTCAGCAAGCTTCGCGGGCAGGAACCTCTCAACCAAAACGGTCGCTTTGCTCTGGGTTCCCTCTCACACATCTTTTAGGAATGCCCTCCAGGAAGGCACCCACAGCGGTTTATGTTGCACTTGACCTTGGATCCCCGTTGTGCCATGCCGAAGGTGCAGCAGACTTTGCAATCTGAGTTCAAGGCATGGGGAGCGGCGTGGGAGCTGAAGGCTGCGACAGGTGACAGGTGTCCAGCTGTCCCTTCTTGACGCTTTGGTGCACAGGATTCCCCACTGAAACGACCGAAACGATCCACCGCCCCCCCCCCCCCCCGGCTGGTGAATGGCCCCCAAAAATTGCCCCAAAGCAGACAGGTCAGCTCACTTACCAAAAATGATAGCTGTTGGAGAGTCCTGGCAGGGTTCCCGTTTTCGCTCAGCACTGAACATTTGCGACGAAAGTGTGCCAGACTCTGCGCAGGTGGCAGATGCGAACTTGCACGCTGAAGTGGCAACCTCTGCTGCAAGCCTCCTTGGCACGCATTGAGGGACATGCCCGCAGACCATGCGACGCAAAAACCGGGGAGCCGTCCTAAGCCGCATGATGCATGTTGTGTATTTGTGGATCAGTGAATCAGGGGATTTGAAACCGCAGGGTCCCCGCACCAGGTGCCTTGAGTTATTTTGGGAGTCGCATTCCTTCCACAAAGCCACAAAGCCAATGGAAGGGGAACACACCATTTGGATTCCAGAAGATGCAGAGTACTAAGTGAATATGGAGTTGGCGATCTCCACACTGGTTCTGCAAGACTGGTGTTTTGTGCACAGAGGCCGTTTATTTGGACATCAAGCTGTTTGTGATTTTTGTAGCGGCTCAAGCTCAAAATGAGTGATGATTTGTTGCTTTCTTGAGGATGCCTTTCATTTACTGTTTGCACTTTACTTTTTTGGGGGTGGAGGGCTACGAGGGAAAGGCAGCACGGACCCGCCAAATGCTGGCCATGGCTACCCACAGAAACCTTTCGCCACTCCTCACGGGTCCCGTCTCGACATCGCCAGACGACCGGTACAACCTGGGAGTTGAGATGGAGCGACTTCGGGCAGATTTGGGACAGGCGGGACCGTGCGCCGGGGAGAAATGCTGCACCACTTTGAAACGAGATTGGGCCTCGCGTAGTGGACATGAGGTGTTCATCATTTTCCTCCCAGTTTGAATGTGTCTGGATACCATCAGGTCGGATGCCGTTTTGAGTAAGTCTGAATGCCATCAGGTCGTCCCATGCTTCCAACTCGTGACTTTGGCAGGTGGATTTGCTGAGAACCTCAGTGGCACAGGCCCAGGAGCGGCGACAGCCATAGAAAAGCATTGCGGTACCGTTGTAATGCTTGCTAGCAATATCGTAAGGGATCCGTGACCGTGACTTGCTCAAGATTTGTTTGCGGGATCACTCCATGCACAGTCGTATGAAGCTAGTTCCCTAAGGGAGCCGCATAACCCGCATGCGAGGTCGTTTCGCCGCGCATTCGCAGACACGTTGAACGCCTCTGAAAACTCGTCTTCAGGGTCGTTTTGGTGCGAAGATGGCCTCACTGGATCTCATTGCGAGGAGCTGGCGAGCCGACTGGGATCACATGAGGTCATCGCCACTTTGCGCACGGCGCCCAAGAGTTGTTGCAGCCATGTCAGCATGGGGGGGGGGGGTGGGAACAGGGGTGAGAGCACACAGTGGCTACTAAGGTGATGTAGCACCCAAGGCATGCTGTTTAAATGGCTCTTCCCGTGCAGTAAAACCGAGCGGAGTCAGAGACGGAGTCAGAGAGAATCCGTCCTTTGGCAAGGGCAACCTCCCCATGTTGCGAAGCACTGAGGTGTTGAACCCGAATACATTGTCAACAAGCAAACGAAGCACAAGCATGTGCACCATCCTGTGCCATATGCCTCGTCGCAGACACTTCACAGGAAGAAAGGTGACTATGGCGACTTGAACAGACCTCAACTTGAACTTTGATGCTGGGCTTGTGTTGTCAAGCCCGCATGGGCGCACAGCGATGGCCCGGCGATGGCCCGGCGATAATGGTTTTTTTTGGTGAATGCAGATCCAGCCCGATTAACTCCCATGCCATCCAACATCCCAGTAAGGGGTAGGATGCGAAAGCTAAGCAGAAACTGCACGGCTGGGGCCAATCCCCCCCCCCCAACCTGCCTGGTTGTCAGGAACCTAACGCTTTCTGTGCCTCCACCCTCCCGCTATCAGCATCGCGTTGGCCTGGCATGACCAATCACGGTGCCTCGGGGCTATACCAGGTCCAGGATAAGCCCACGACAAGGCCTTAAGGATACATAGACATTATATGTATTATATATATATATACGCATGTATGTATGTGTGTATATATATATACATAGGCATTCAGGGTGGAATTATGATAAGCCCATGGAACCTGTTCCACCCTTACACTTCCCCAAGGGTTCGAGCTAAGGAGTGGACCAGTTCTCCTCTCACCTGTCTTTGCCTTGCGATTACGAGTTCCCACTGGTGGCGAGCAGGCCGGCAGCCAGTGCTGTGGACGAAGCAAGCGTGGACTAGAACAACTCATCAGCTCCTGTCGTTTTCTAGTCTTCATGAACGAAAAGGGGGCGGGAAGACGCCAAATGAGAAGATGAATGAGCAGAAGCCCAAACAACATGTGGCAGGCCGTTCACAACGCAGCTTCCCTAGGCAAATCAATCCTAGTCCTGTTGGCTTTCCTTTTTTGGTCCATTTCGGTTTTGGCGGAGAGAGGTGTGTGATCCGCCTGAAGCCCAACCGCAAGGCTCGACGTGCACCCGTTACCCTTCAGATTTGTGTGCACCAGTTGGTTTAAAGGGAGAAGGCCATTTTGGGGCCACGTTTTTGAGACCCGCCCATTGACACCACATGTGTCATTGGCAGCATGATCCGTGGAATGCAAGCCGCTGCAGTGTACAATCAGGGGACCCGTTCAAAAGGTTCTCAAAGAGCGTGTTCCGATCGCTTGCACGAAGGACAAGCATGTTGGAACTCATGGGTCACCCAAGTCGAAGGGCCTGCGCTGGCTCTCGATGCGGCTCAAGCTGTGTGTCTCACCCATGGAGCTGATCCCCCATGTCCGCGGCTTAGCTTTGGGCAGGATAGACCACTCTTGCTGTGATAAGGGAATCCCCTTCACCGAAAAGCAAAGTGGTCATGGTGACCCATATCTCAAAGGGTTGGGTTGCAGGAAATTCTACAGGACAACAGCTTATTTTGTTTCAATGGGGCCATTTCCTGTAGATGTTCCTCTAACCAAACCCTTGAATATCGCAGAAAGGGTGATTTTTTCCGGAACCAATGTTGTTGGGGCAGCCTGGCCAGGACAGAACATTCTGAAATTCGAATGCTGAAAGGCCCTGCCAGACACTCGCCTCGTCTAGGGTTCCTTTCGATTACGTGCAAGCGGAAGCCTAGCCTTGCCGCTCGATGGGGGTTGGGCTTGCCTCACACCAACCGCTTTCTTTGCCCCGCGAAACGAGTTCACTTACACTCAGCATGACATAAGATCAATGTATCATGCAAAGTTTCGTTGACACTCCAGTGCCATCAGATGCTACGCGCTTCACTCCTCTTCACTGCGCTGCTACATTCCGCGGCGTATACGTGTCCAAGTGGCTGGAATGGCTTGGCCCCCTCCCTCAGTTTCACATGCTGGACTACTGCTACTGCTATTGCTGCACTCTTGAGGTATGGCACAGAGCCTTCAAAAGCGCACCCGTGCCAGACGCGCATGATGCAATTTACATGAGCATGTTGTACTTATGCCAGGCGCGCGTGGCAGGTGCAACTATCAAGTGCAAGCGCCTAGTTTTCCGACACACCCGGCACAGCTGACAAGTCAATACCGAAATGCACAGCAAGCACGTATGCCTGGCATGAAGGATTGCCTTGGCTTCGTCCGCAGACTCCTTGGATCAGTCTTAAGGGTTACCCCGGGCGGTTGGTTACCCCCCTACACCAAAGGCAAAAACCAAGCCGAAGGCCAATGGCTTTGGCCTGTGGACCCTCGGAGTCCCGAAGATGGAAGGGAAGATTCTGTGAAGGACGACTTTCTTCCTCAGGAAGCAATGCATGGCACTTCCCCGATTTAGCGGAGGGGTTCATTTCGGGCTTTCGGACATGAAATGAAAGCCATGGGGCCCGTAATGTCCCTGAAGTGACTTGGTGAAGCATGGCGCGAAGCTTTTCTTTGCCCGCTGCGGAGCTAGCATTTTGGTGGCTGGAGCCAAAAGCGCCAAAAGCCCACGGGTGGAGCGCCCTTACCCGGCGACGAGGACGAGCCTCGCGGAGCGCCCGCGCAGCCCACGAGCTCCGCTGGGCTCGAGCCTGGAGGCTTATGCGGAGACCTTTCAGGCGGAACTCTCCGGTTCGCTTTTTTTGTCGGGAAGCGGCTCAAGCTGTTTCAGTGTCCTAGAGGGTCCCTGTTACCTTCTAAGGACGTACTTAGACCCCTTTTGACCCCTCAAAAGCCATCCTCAGAAGGTACTTGGACCCTCTGGGTTTGGGTATGTGCGTTTTTTGAGGGTAGCCTTTGATGGAAGAAGGCAAACCTAGTTCAGCACATGCTCAACATTGCTCAACCATATCTGAACTCTTGCTTGCTTTTTGGTTGGATTGAAGCCGATGCCACCCCCGGAGGGCCAAATTGTCGGGTTCCTTCGGTCGGCGTCTTTGGAAGGTAGGAATATTTGCACCACATCGCGGTGTGTGCTCCTGGGTCCTCCGTCTCCGGGTTCTTTCTCAGTGTTTCCGTTCTCGGGGTTATTTCCAGGAGACCGACCCTCTGAAAATTAGGAGTTGCAGGTGTTTCAAACGCATGAAACAAAAAGCCAGCCGGAGTGAAAATTCATAGTTAGGAGTGAGACTTGGGGAAAACAATTGGAAGCAAGTCATTGGTTGGGCTCGCAATTCTACAACTCTGTGCACTATTCCATCATGCAACTCTGTGCACTCAATTGGGTATTCCACTGCTTCCACCGAAAAATTACTGTCCGGAAACTCTGTCCTTTTCTTGATTGGCAGGAGTCTGCGGGTTTTGTGCGGGTGTTTTGCGGTGTGGTGTTGGCAGATGTTGCCAAGTTGTCACCCAAAGGAGCAAATTCTGAATCATTCCGAATTCTGAATAACTCTGAAATCTGAATAGCTTTAAGGATTCCATTTGTAAATATTTCTGAGTTGGAGGGCTCCTTCCGTCGAGTACCGAATAATTGCGATTTCTATAGTGGTTTCAGGTGTCAAACCAATTTCCAGGAGTGACAATCTATGTCTTGGAGTTTTACCTTGAAATCTCAGTGCTTTTTCACTGAGACCCTTTAAAAAGTTGTAGTCTCCGTATTTCACGTTAAATGTCCATGATTTGGAAGATCCAGGCTACCATTGCTTTGGCTAGTTGAGCGGAAAAAGGCAAAGCATATTTTTTGGGTCTCCCTAGTTCATTTCGAGTTCTCAGCATCTCTTGGGGTGGTCACTACTTACCTGCTTTTTTTGGGGGGGGCAAGTCATGCATGTGGAGTAAGCATCACGACTTCGGGTTCGGGAAATGGGTGCGAGGGTGCTGAGCCCTACCTCCTGGACCTCTACGCGGCGATTTGCCATGACGCCGGGGACATGCCCAGCGTGGAGGGCGCCAGGCAGTTCTGGGAGCAACCGGGCTGAAGCGGAGTTCCGTCCAGGGCTTTGTCTCCGGCAGTGTCTTTTTGAGGGTACCCAGGGTACCCGTTTTGGTGTGGCATTGAATGGGAAAATCAAGGACACGACAAAATTCCAAAAACAGTGTCCACACTAAGGGGTTCTTATGGTGAGAGCAAAGGGGGTAGACTACAGTAGGGTGCTCAGTGTTCTCTGGGAGAGTCTTTTCCCCAGCTGAAGGCTATGGGGTCGATAGGCCCAGATAGGCGATAAGGGGTGGTTCGGAGCTCGATCTCTGGGCTCTATCTCTGAGTGTCTTTTTTGAAGCACCAGGATGTTTTGGGGGGGCCTGTGACATGAGCTGGAGCCCTTTGGAAAGGACAAGCGCTACAAGGGAAGGAGCAGTTTTCGGGGAGGCTGTTGGGTATACCACCTGCGCGTTTTTTTGAGGGTAGCCTTTTTGGTGTGGAGCGGAATGGGAAATAAAGGAAACAACATTTTGCAGGTGCCTTGTTTAAAGGAACACCCATGTTTTCTCTTTGGTTTGAGCCCCGTTCAAAGTGAGTTTCCCTTGAGTGTGATGGTTAAGGGGGTACGTGTGTGTCTCAAATGGGGGACTCACCAAACTGATATCCAACCTGGGCTTTGGTTTTGCCTTTTTGAATTACCCAAGAAGACTGACCCTCAAAAGGGCACCCCTTGAAAGCAGACAGACCCAACATGGGAAATCCTGCCTGGCCTATGGTTTCCCTTTTTGCAATCCCGAAAAGACATCGACCCAGGCCGGGATTTCTTCAAAAAGCGTCCTTCCGCTAGTTTCGGCTCATCCCGCAGCCAGTTCGCCTCAGCCTTCTGCTAGCCCTTAATCAGTGAAGCCATGGCCCGCTCCAGCTCCGTCGTCGCCCCCTTGCTGCTCCTTGCAGCGGCTGCGTATGTCCTGAACTTCGACACGTCCTTTGTCGCTCCCCCAAAGGCGGCAGACGCCGCACTGCAGCAGCAACAGCAGGCGCCAGGGCTGCCAAGCGTTGAGCAATTTGGTCATGGTGGTAGCCATTTCATGCTAGCTCAACACAATCATGATGCTGTAGTATGGTGTTTTTACGGCTTTGACATCATTCTGTAGTCGTGACATTCATTTTCGTGTTTTCTTCAAAGAGGTGCCATTGGATCGTTCAGCTGCCCATGACATTCTCAAGCCAGGCGGCAATGAGCGCAGCAGCGCTCACGGCGGCAGCCATGCCGACCCCGGCTTGGGCGGTGCGAGCAGCCTCGGAGGACGGAATTCGTGACGTGGGGCTTTGCCGCCCGAGTGGGTCGTGTTGAATTGTCGTTTCGGGAATCGCGGTATAGGCAGGTGAGCGCCAGGTTGGGCTCTGTGTTCCTGTCGGTGTTTTTCGTGGCTTCCTTGCTCACTTCAGCCAGCCAATCTGCCAACCAGCCAAGAGACTGGTTGATTGCAGGACGACGAGGGCTTCGACCTCCGCATCCTGGCGGTCTTGGCTTTGCCGCTCGCTGCCGTCAGCTGGGCCCTCTTCAACGTCTGGCGGGTGGCCTTCCGCCAGGCTGCGTTGCAAAACGGTCGAGGTGTTCGGAGCTGATGGGCGCGACTTCAAATCGACCGGACGGCAGGGTCCTTCTTAACCGGTTCACTTGATCTTCCAGGACCCTGGAAAAGCAGGCCTTTGGCCGAAGTTCCATTTTGAGCTAAGATCAAAGTCAAGAAGGACCCTGGTTTTGCGGGTCCGTGGAAGACCAAGGGTTCACTTGAACATGTTTCAATTTTGGGAAACGTTGGGAGGATGACATTGAAACCGGCTGAACATTTAGCCTTGAAACTCGAGGAGCAACATGTCCAGAGAGTTGGTTTCCCGGGTTCCTTTGATTTGTGAACCAGTTAAACGTTTTGCGTGGAAAGCCTACCGGCCTTGTCAGATTTTGAGTTCTGCTCAGGTGGTGCGTATCGGCGAGAGCGAGAAGGGCAACCCCCTGTGAGGCGATTGGCAGACTGGTCGAGACCCATCGCGTTTTTGGATGGGATGGGCAAGAGAGGCGAGTTGTTTTCCACGAAGCATTGCCAGACAGACCTGATGCTCAAGCGGGTTTGAAAAGCCCGTCAACTGCCAGCGCAAAGGTCAGAATGAAGAGAGGTACAGCAGCCGGTAGGGCCTGGTTGGCCGGGAGTGTGTTGCTTAGAGTTGCAACGCTGGCCTAGGTCGGGCATTTGGCGGGCGCTATCAGAATCTCACTGGCTTTGAGGATCCATGGGCCTTTTTTGCATTTGGGGGGTATGCTGCAAGGCATCGTAAGTCCAGGTTCGAATCGATGCAGGCCGTCATTGGAAAAGACTGTGATTGGCCCTCAAAAATCACACCGGCAGGAAACAAGCAATTGGAGCATGGGCTCATCCTGCAGCCATTTCGCCTCAGCCTTTTGCTAGCCCTTAATCAGTGGAGCCATGGCCCGCTCCAGCTCCGTCGTCGCCCCGTTGCTGCTCCTGGCAGCGGCTGCGTATGTCCTGAACTTCGGCACGTCCTTTGTCGCTCCCCCAAAGGCGGCAGACGCCGCACTGCAGCAGCAACAGCAGGCGCCAGGGCGGTTGCCATGGGTCGCCTTCATGGCACCTTCCCATTTTCGACATCAGTTACAGTCGCTAGTTTGCCATCCTTGCGTACGTTTCACGCTTAGGACCACATTCCAGACTCCATCACTAGGTTCTACGTAAGGGGTGCCATGGCTACGTTGATCGGCCACCCACAGTCCGGGTCAAGTGAACATTCTGATGCGTTCCCAAAATTACGTTCTTGTGTTTTTCTTTGACACAGCCATTGAATATATTGCCCTGTGGTTTCCATATGTTATCCCTTGGTCTCCTTTGGGCTTGCCCTTCTTTCAGGGGCACCCAAGAAAATGATTGGTTTCCTCTTGGTTTCCCTTTAAAACCACAAAGAAAGGGGTACCTTGCCAGAACAAGACACCTACTTTGGGGCTCTCAGTGGCATCTTCCCAGGCAGCACTGGGCGCCGCAGCACTGACAGCGGCAGCCATGCCCGCCCCGGCGTGGGCGGTGCGCGCGGCATCGGAGGACGGCCACCTTGGCGGGAAATGTGCTCTTTGGCGCTGTAGTTTCTAGGGGTTGATTCCCTGTTGCTGGGAAACATGTTTCCCATTTTTGCTTGTTGTGGTTTGGGAATCTCCACTTAACTGCAGAATCTTATTTTTGTTGCTCCCCTTCCAACGTCAACCAAGTCTAGGGGCTGATTCCTTGTCCATTCTTTTCAACCATTGTTTTTTCCCCAAAAACTGGCGATTTTCCCAGGGTTTCCGGAGACTTTCTAGAAAGAAGGATCCCTGGAGGGAATGGGGAAGGTACCCCTAGATAGTTGGTTGGAGCTTTGACCTTTCACTTTTTGGGGGAAATGTGGATTTTCCCAGGCCCACAACAGGTTTAGCTTTTGCACCGGGGGCAACAGTGTCTACTAGCTGTTGGGGCTCTTTTTGAAAAGTAAATTGGAGGCCGGTCGTTGTGTGCTCGTTGGCTGTTGTTTCTTTGTGGCTGCTATGCTTCGGTGGCTTTCATTTTCCTTCATGTGCAAAGGTCAAGGACAGACGGCTTCCAGCAGAGGGGGGGTATATGATTTTCGGTTAGGGGTGGGAAAGCTGGGTCCTCATTTGCCATTGTGTGAGATTCAGTTGGGTTTGTTCAAAAGGAAGCGGATGGGCGTGTTTTGTTTTTGTCCCGATCCTCTATTCAACACTTTTGATTATGTTGCCCCTGATTGTAGCTTTTGACACCATGTCAGGTCCCAACACCACCACGGTAAAGATGTTTTGTGACTGCTCACTTGCCCAAAGCCAACCTTTTGACCTTTGCTTTCCCAATTTTGGTCAATGCTGAACGGCAAGTGTGCCTGGCGTAAAGCAGCCGTAAGCAGAAGCACTTCTCTTTTGTTTGGCCCCCCCCCTCCCTTTTGACACATACCGCAACTAGCCTGGTTGAAGATTGCAGGACGACGAGGGCTTCGACCTCCGCATCCTGGCGGTCTTGGCTCTGCCGCTCGCCGCCGTCAGCTGGGCCCTCTTCAACGTCTGGCGGGTGGCCTTCCGCCAGGCTGCGTTGCGTGAGTCGGGCTGCCGTGCCTGTTGGGTCCCCAAAGTGGGGCATGTTTTTTTTTTTTTGTTTTCAGGTTCCCCTAAACCAGCTTGGGTAGGGAAGCCAAAAGGACACCTGGTACACCTTATGGACATTGTCTCCCAAACAGCTACCCAATGATTCCTGGGAGGTAAAGCCTCATGCTTCAAAGGACGGGGTGGGTGGGTAAAAGGGGGGGGGTACCACAGTGCGAAACTGGTTTCTGCACAGGTCCTGAACAAAGAAACATCTCGGAAAGAAAAACGCATGATGGTGTTTGAATGGTCAGGTGGTGCGTATCGGCGAGAGCGAGAAGGGCAACCCCCTGTGAGGAGATTGGCAAACATGTCTCACCGTCGCATTTTTGGATGGTTGGGATGGGAAAGCGAGGCGGGTTTTCCTCAAAGCATTGTGGCTTGCCAGACCTTATGCTCAAGTGGTTTGATGAAAAAGTGCGCCAATTGCAAGTGCCAAGGCAGTCAAGTGCAAGATTGTGACATGATGCAGAAGCATCCACTATATGCATAGGTTTGTGTCAACGTCGGGCATCCGAAAACATGATTGCCTCTGAACCACAAAAGGTACCCTCACAAAACTTAAGACAGCCTCATGTGTTGCAGCCAGCTGAGGCACGTCAGAGCAGCTTGGCGAAGCAGCCAGTTCGGACCTGCAGTCTGTGGGGTGGCCGCCGCTGTCTCTTGTGTGGTTTCTTCTTGGTCGGTGCCCTCCATGCCTTGCAAGGGCCCTCATGTACTGACTGTGGCTGATGTGTTTGGGTGTCCTTTGGGTCGGCGAGTCGGATTTTTTTTCTGAAGCCGAAGGAAATTCCTATGAGGATCTTGGGGTGTCAAAATCAAGGGGCCCGCCAAAATGGGCTTGCCTTTTAAGACCAACCACAAAAGGGGTACCCTCAGGCAAACATGCACCCAACTCTTTTTTGCCCGCTCGCCCCTTTAGGCGCAGAACCCTTCGCCGCTGCCGCCGCCAGTGACGCGGCCCCCTTCTGCCGGCAGAGGCGTGCATGACCGGCTTGGTTAGTAAGGGATTTCCCGGTGGTTGGAATCCCAAGGAGCTTAGGGTATCCAAACTCCTCATTCAGCGGGGGCTAAGGGGCTATCAGGAGCTCTGGAAGGACATCTGACCAGGGCATCCCATTCGTTTTTTGCTTTTGCTAACGCAGGGCTTCGCTTGAAGCTGAACTAACAAGAAAGGGGTGGCCTTATTCCAATGGACCGTGGGCTTCTCAGCTGAGTTTTATGTAAATGCTGTGTAGGGGACTATCAACTTAGCGATTGGAGTGGTCATCCAAGTGGCTGACGGCTGAGAAGGTCTATCAACCACGTGACACTGGCTACTCGGCCCCTCTCCCTGAGGCCCATAAATGATGATGGATGCATGAAGGGTGCATAGGCATATTTAGTGGAGGGAATGCCATGGGAATACCGGGTGGGTATGAGGGGGATTCCAGAAAGATACTATGCGAAAACCATACGGGGTTGCCTACTCAGAAGCACGTGGATGGGCCTTATGTGCATTGTGGTCTGAATTGGTTGTCAGCAACACTCATGTGGAAGTGCTGGACAACTGCGAACCTTTGAGAGATGCAGGCAAGGAAGCCAAACACGGCCTCGTTCTCTCAGTGAGGAAGAAATGCATTCACCCGTCCTTTCACTAATCCGTCTTCGTGAGGCGCTCTGGGAAGCAGACGTTGGACGTTGATCATTTGTGAAGGGATTCGGGTTTGGAAAGGTACAGAACAAGCAAAGGGCTCAACTTGGAGCGGAGCTGGGTTTGGAGCAGCCAGGGCCCCCCACTTCATGCGACTGGAAGTCTGGTAGGGAGTTGCTATGCCAACTGCGAACGTGGCATGTGGGAGAGTTGTGTAAGTCATTCTGCGAAGCGCTTAAAACAGAACGCGATAACTTCAAAGATCAATAGCAGGCTTACTTTTCAAACCCATTTAGCCACAAGGGAATTTGTTTGGGTGTCCTTTGGAGATTCCTTGCCTTGGCTTTTTGGCCGGCATAAGGCTTGGAAATGGTCCAAACCAGGGGCCTGTAGGCCTCTTGTTGTGAGGGTTTAGGAGACATTTTGTCACGTAATTGGCCATCTACCCTCCGATTCCGATCCCTTCCCAAACAGACAACGGTCTTCCCCTTTGCTTCCCTGGTTCCCAGCCTGAACCAGGCCCCTCTGGGGAAACTTGGCGAGAGGTCGCCCTTCACCTGCCACAAATCATGCTCGGCATTCTGACCTGAATGGGGTGTTGTTGTTGTTTTTGGGAATTTTGGGGCCCGGATTTGGGTATGAGTCAAACAAAATAAACGGACCCCCAAAAAAGTGACTTTCATAATGCTGACATTGGATCACTAGATGCCACCGTTCGCTAAGGCACGCTTTCAGGGTCCAATACTAAACAAATTAAAGCTCTGACGCGGGCCTCCGGGACCACCCCTAAGCAGTTCGGAAGCGAAAACCATTTTCCCGCACAAAGAATCATTCAATTCCGGCCCAACGGATCCCGCAGAGTCGCAGAGCGGCCCCCTGCAACACTACCTTCTCTCCCGCAAACCACATTCTCCCTCGGAACCCCGCTTGCTTAATCATGCTCAATCATGCTCGATCATGCTTAATCTGAGGTTTGACCTTGTGGCGGGGAGGAAGGGGTTTTCCATCCGACGTCAATACTTTTCCTCGAACGCCAGCTAACAAGGGACCACCCCTGGACTCCCCTTCCTTCCTTTGGCGCAGAGGGCCACATGTTTGTGGCTTGTCCTTTTTCGTGCGCAGCAAAGTCCTGAACTCGGCAAACTCACATGAACCCACAGAAACCCGTCGTTTTTGGGATGATGCAGTGTTTTTGTTGGGTGGGCTTTGGTTTTTTGACGGTCGAAACGTTTCCGCCCAGGCGGGAGCCGCCCCACCTCCGCGACCTGGCGAGCGCTGCTTGCCCTACCTTTGGTTGGGGGCTCGTTTGGGGAAGGAGAGTTGTGGAGTGACCCGAATATAAACCATCCAACTGGTGGTACGCTGGTGGTTTCCTTCAACTTTAAGGGAATCCCTGGATTCATTACATTCCGCTGAGCATCTGCAAGTCAAGCTTGGTTTGATTTGTTACCTCTTCAATGTTCAGCAAATTGATTTCAGTGTCCCCCGTTGCTTTGAGGATCTTCCGTAGGTTTGGTCCCAAGCCCGTGATTGGAGGAATTTAAGATAGAAAAGAGCTGAACACAAATGAAAGAAATAGCCGAAAGAAATAAACAAACAACAGAAAGAACGAAATCAAGAAATAAGACACTGGTAGAAAAAGTAAGCAAGCAAGAACGAACAAGCGAACCAATAGAAGAGGGAGAGAGAGAGAGAGAGTGAGAGAGAAAGAAAGAGAGAGAGAGAGAGAATGAAAGAGAGAGAATGAAAGAGAGAGAGAGAGAGAGCGAACGAGACAGAAAGAGCGAGAAAGAAAGAGAGAGAATGAAAGAGAGAGAGAGAGAGAGAGAGAGAACGAGACAGAAAGAGCGAGAAAGAAAGAGAGAGAGAGAGAGAGACAGAGAGGGAGGCCCTGCCTAATCAATCACTACTCGCCGTTGCTTTACAGTACTCAGATCCATTGCTACTGATGTTTGGCAAGCCAATGGTAAATCACAGGGGCGTGCAACCTTTCCATATAGATCCATATAGCCTGAGGTTGACCAGGCAGGGGGTACATTGGGGTTCCAGGATGCCTCTCGCCAGGCAGGAAGTGTTGCGCAGGCAAACTGCCCTGTCACGAAAATTGCTGCGCGGACAGGTTCACTCATGACTCACGGAACCATGCGGCTGAGTCAACTGGCAACCCTGATGACGCCGCACTGAGGGGACTCTTGAAAGTTAGGAGCAGGTCGAGCATGACAGCTAGGCTTGCCACCTCTAGTCTTGGCGGTTCCCAGCTGCCCCCTTAGGCTTTTTAGGCCTTAGGCGGGGCTTTCATTTAACCTTCTAAAAGTTCAACTTTTAGAGGCCCCGAGGGTTGCCGTCACCCCCTAGTCCACCGTCCTGACCAGGGTTTAGGTTAGGTTTGCGGTGTTGGTTTCGGGCTAAGGTTTGGGGTTCAGGTTTCGGGTTCGGGTTTAGCGCTTAGGTTTAGGGGTTTAGGGGTTTATATGAATGGGCACAATCTTTTAGGTGCCAACTCTTCATTTCAGCTGTGCTACGCTTCACACGGTTGGTTGGACTGAACCACTTGCAGCTGTGCGCCAGCAGATTGGGAGTATTGTGCATTGTGTGTTTGGTTCAAGACTCTCGACATGTAGCAGTGAACGCGCTTTGTATCAAGTTGGAATATCTGTGGATTTGATACAGATGTCTTTGGAAGCTTCGATATTTGGATTTTTGGAGATTGACACCGTGATCACATATGTTGCTTTTGGATTTGCGGTTCGATTTGACCTTCCCCATTCTTTCCAGGCATCCTTCTTTCTAGAAAACCCCTGAAAAACCACAAAAAACGGATCCGGTGTTCGAAAAGAAGGATGGTTGGACAACCCCCCCCCAAAAAAAAATAAAAAAAAAATAAATAATAATACTAATACGAATAATAAGAATAATAATAACAATAATAGGAAAAACAAAACGGCCGAACACCTTGGTTAAAGACTGGACAAGGAATCAGCCTTTGGAGGAGCGTCAGGTGTCGCCCCTAAGTTCGGATCCTTCGGGCCGTGAGGTCTGAGAAGCCCTGGGCCGCTGAGGCGCAGACACGCGTCGCGAAGAAAGCGGGGAACAGAGCGCCAAGGGTTTTTTGGGGTGCACCCGAAACCTTGATCTTCCAGATTTCCTTACCAAGAGATCGAGAGAGACAGAGAGAGAGCCAGACAGAGAGAAGGAGGGAAAGGGAGAGAGAAAGAGGGAGAGAGAAAGAGGGAGAGAGAGAGAGAGTCATGCAGGTTAGCTTAGACACCCACTGGCTCATTTGCTGTTTTGCATGTCCGTTTCAGTTTGTTCCGAAACAAGACCCACACACGGATTCTTTTTCCTGCACCACCTTGAAACTCTGGAAAACCGTTTGTTGGTCGGGCTTTGCAGAGTTATCATTCCTGGGTTTCTTAGGGGGTGCAAAATGGATTTCGTCCATCTGCTGTACTCCTAAGGTCACCAATTTCAACTTGGTGGCTCCCAGCACTCCCCTTAGCTTCTTAGCCTTCTAGTGTTTAGTGGTAGTTTCCATTTGACCCACTAAAAGTTAAACGTTTTGAGTTCGCCGGGGCGGAAGCTGCCAGGACCGGCTGTGCTTCCGAAACCTGCGAATGGGCGCCGCGGCAGCCTCCTGCTTGGCCATGCAGCTCGCTCGGTCGATTTTTCTGGTTTGGTGGGGGAAGGGAAGGACCAGAAATCTTTCCCTATCAACTCACTCTCATAGGTGTTTTTTTGGCTTGTTTTGGTAGAAATTTCGATGGCGATTCCTGGTTTACCTGGTGGTTTACTTATCTACCAGGGCCGTCTATTTCCTCTAAAAGGACACCTGTGGCAATGACCCCTATCGGCGCCTATCGGCATCAACTCACTCCCGAAGTTCCTAGCCTTGATACTTTTTAGGAACACAGTCTTGGAAACAACAAGTTTGCTTTTTGCCCATCCACTCAGGAAGAGGGGGGGTGTCCTCTAGGTTCTCCTCTGAAAACGGTCCTGTCCCAAAACAATGTCACAGTTTCTCCGACCAGGGCTACTGGGCAACTGCACCAGAAGGGCGCTTGTGGGACCTCCAGTCAGCTCCTATGTCAGATGGGACAGCCAAAGATCAGAGGAGTTTTGAGGGTAGAGGGCAACGGCAGAACGACAGAGAGAGAGAGAGATGTGCCTGTGCCTTCCCCTTGTACACCTTTCACTCATGACATGAGTTGAACAGGGAAGCGTTCATTGTCGCTGCAACCCAACAACGATGAGTGGGGCTACAGCAGCTCATTCCAACCCATAGCCCACGGGCTGCGAACGACATGACAGACATTGCGCGTGCCAGTCTTAGAGTCTTTATAAACTGGGCTCGCCAAAACCCATTGGAATTTTTCCCCTTTGGCACCAATGCCCATCTTTTGCCCATGTCTTTGGAGCAACCGGTATTTTGCAGCAGCCGTCATGCTTTGCAGCCGCCTGATTGACTGGATCGCAGGCAGCTAAAGGGGAAGAATCTGACCACCTTGGATTTGGGCCACTTGGCGTGAAACTTGGCAACAAGGCACCATGGCAACAGGCTGCTGTTTGGACCAAGGTTGACATCCTTGGTTCCAGCAGCTGGCCTCGAGGCAAGATGAAAAACAAACGGTGCCCTTACTCCTTTAGAATCTGAAAATGGGCGAGGCCAGGAGGTGCATGTTTGGGGGGCTGGATTGCCAACCTTGCTACAGGTTGTTTGGCAGCCTGCTTTGCCGCTTTGGAATTGCTTTGGGTTTGTCTTTTCTTTAGGGGGCCCCAAAGTGGTGGTTTTCTTGCAGGTGTCCCTTTCAAGCCAAAACATCACATTTTGACACTTGGTCGCAATCTTCCATGGGCCACAACTCCAAGAACGGACAGTTGGGGGTGCATATCATGGGTTTTTGTCAAAATGGGGGCACCTTTTCCTTTTTGGGTTTCCCCTCATGCAAGCCAAAACCACTCCGAAAAAGGATACCATCAAAACAGAGATGCCCATATTGACAATGTCTCAGGTGAGAACCAGCTGGGAGACAACGCAGCGGCCGCGCTGGCCAGTCTCATCCACGCCTTACCCAAGCTGCAAAGCTTCACGCTGGCCGGGAACATGATCGGCCGCTTGGTCAATCACACCTCCCCCCGACCGCTCAAGCACACCCCCTCAAACAAACTTCCTGAAAAAGCCTGACATAGGGATAGTAGGTACTATGTCAGGTCTCAGAACTAATTAGGAGGAATAGAGCTGCAGGTGGCTGGCACGTGTGTTCCAGCAGTAGTGGCAGGAAGCAGCAACAGCAGCAGCTGGAGTCGTGGTGGCAGTGGTAGTGGCAACAGGGAAATAGCAGTAGCCCTAGCTGCAACCAGTTGCCAGTTTTAGTGGATCACTAGGGGTTCTAATTTGAGTTGCCCGCCCTGAGAGTCAACGCCGGCGCATGTCCGACCAACTTTCTGCCCCTCGCCTTTGGAGTCCCCTCCCATGGCGCGCAGCTACGCGCGCAGCAGCGCTAGGTCCGGCGGGCATCAAAGAGCTTGCCACCAGCGAGTTGGAAGTCAATGAGACGTGCCTTGCGTTGCAAAGACTGGGCGGTTCAAATGCGATCCTGATTTTGTTCTGTTTCTTTTTATTTTTAAGTGCCAAGCTCACCTGGTAACACGAAATCACCATGGTGTAGGTTCTGGATTGTTCGTTTCTGGTTTTGGCTTTTATTGTAGAACTCGCAGCGTAATCCCTGCTTTGGGTGGCGAAATTGGTCCCCTTCGGTTTGGTGTCCGTCCTTGGATTTTGGAGTGGGGTTTAGTCCACCCTCAAAGGCACCATTGAAAGGGGACACTAGGATGCCTTCTGATGCCTTCGGGCGTTAGATGTCAAGGTCGGCTGTGCGGTTTTGCAGTTCCTTCGCGGTTTTGCCGGGGTTCAAGTTCAATCCGCAAGATCCTTGTGCCAAGTAGTGGTTTTCCTTGTAGTGGTGCCTCGCTACGGATGAGGATCAACCCGATGGATCTCCCAGAAGCACGGGATATCTATGGGGAGGTTGCCTATGGCACCAAGTGCCTACATGCGCAACGCTCAAATGGTTTTACCGCTCAAGGGTGGGGGCGTTTAGGGAACCCGACAAACAGAGCCGGGGCATGCCGGGCTGTTCGAGATCCCCTAAAAGGCCGATTCTCATTCCTTGTGTGAAGATTGATTGGGTCAAAGGGCCAACCCGTGAGATTCCTTCTTCCACAAATGGATATTTTTTGTTGGGGATTTCATGTCAACCTGCGCTCAAGGGTGGGAGCACCTAGAGTGGTGTTTGGCTGGTTTCATGTTGACCTTCGGGGTATTTCCCACATCGCGAGGTTGGAGCACTTGGCGCTGGGGGAGCCCAGCCCTGCGTACTCCACGGTGGTCAGCCTGGCGCGCCCGCGGCCCAACTACGTCACCACGGAAGGCGGGGAAGAGACGCGACCTGCGACCCCGCAGCTTCAGAACCAATGGGCGGTTTGGAGCCCGGGGGTTTGGATATGGAGCCCGGTGGTTTGGATTGGCTCATGCCATTTCACCAAACCACCAAAGCAATCCAATCCAATGAGGGGGAAGCTGAGACACCCAAATTCCCGAAATCCCCGGACCTTTGTTGGGGCTTCTTGGCGGGAATCCCAGGTGTGCGGTTCCGACGTAGGCGGTTCGTTAGTTGCCTTGGTGGTAGTTTCCATTTTATATAACCCATGAAAGGCAAAATTACCAGCGAAGTCCACGCGTTTCCAAAAAGGTTCACTACTCATGTTCTGGAATATGATTGGGTGAATTTTGGAAACCTTCGCCGATAGCTGGCGCTTGCGGGTTGTGTTCTGACTGAGCCATGGTATTATCCGGGTATGACTCAACCACAGTTTGTGTTGGCCAAAGCCTAGAGAGGGCATTCGAGTTTGTTCCAACCTGTCTTGGGATTCTGTGGGTAAGGCTGGACGAGAACATGGCAACTCATGCGAAAAAGTTAGTGGATTGAAAGCACGGATTTGGGAAGTCCAGTGTGAACTTGATCAAAACTCTACTTTTCCAGACGCCGATTTTGCTTCGAGACACTTGGAGCACAATGCAACACTCATCACCGTGCTAGGAAATGAGTGATTTGGATTTGGCGTATCACTAACACACATGGAGGTGCAACAACTTGGTAAACCTTTTTGTTTTTTTACCCCAAACTATGTTGCGCACGTTGGCGAACAACTACGTCTCGGAATATCAAGGTCAGGGGCAGGCCCAAGATCCTGCTATGCCTGAAGTCAACTTCACGCCAAGTTCAGTCACGTACATTGGGGCAAGAGTCTCACTAGAATCGTAAGAACTTCCCAACCAATCCAGAGTCACGGGATCACACAAAATCAACTTCGGATATCTTCGGACTCAGAGTCACCAATCACAGTACAATCACATGTCACCAATCAGAGTAAACCCCTGAACCAATCCAGAGCCACCCCTAAAAAACCCTTTACCAGATCAAAGTCACCCCTTTTCTACGTCCGCCAGTCGTGCCCTTTTCCCCTTTTTTGGGGGAGGGTTCCCCTACTAAAATAGACTACGGGAAAGCAAAAGTACCCTTATTCTAACCTCTGTACCGGAGGACCTAGATTTCGTTCACAGATCAAAGTCACCCCTTACATAAGCCTGTGGTCCCCCCCTTTTCATGTACCCATCCCCAAAAGGCAGCAAAACCGAAGTCCATTGGGGGGGGGGGGTTGGCTTGGCCCGGACTTAGCCCGACCCGAGTGAGGCCTCCACTCGCTGCTGACGGGCCTGGCCCGGAACGCGCACCGCCGGCTCAGCGCGCTGAACTTGTGCCGCACCGCACTGAAGGCGGACGCCGGCCAGGTCTTGGCAGCACCTCGACTTCGGAAATTGGGGGTGGATGAGGGGTGGGATGCGGTTTGGGAGAGGGGTTGGAGGGGGGGGACTTTTGGAGTTGGAGAGGGGGTGGTGTGGCTTCTTTTATGGGACACCCCTCCTCCCCCAAGAAAAAGGTGGGTTCCGTTTGGAACCCCCACGGGTTCCCCAGAAAAAGACTCAACTGGAAGGTTGACAACATATGGATCAGGATCTGAAATCATGTGGTTGATGTGCTGATTTCACCCCACAAAATGTGTAGTGATGGCCAGAAATGATCTTCCAACCAATGACTGGTGAAAGTGGACGAATCCACTGGTGTTGTTGTCGGGGGGGTGTTCCCCCCAAAAGCCATCCGCATTGCCTTTTGAGTGAGGCACCGTACACTGAAAATCAAACCAGAGTTCATTGATCCTGGCTTCCATTGGCGGAACATCTGAATGATGGGTCTTCCGCTTCAAAAAGCCTTTAGCTGCTTAGCTCCTGTTCCTTTTCCGTTTCTCGTTGATGTTTTGTTTCTCTTCTTTTTTTCTGTGGTCCAGCAAAAGGAAGCTGGAACTCCAGAGGTTCCATGGATTCGCCTGTCTGAGGACTTTCTCGAGTCCGACTCTGTGCTGACCGACCTGGACGTGCCACTTGGATCCCGACATGGCCAGCTTAGAGGCTCTAGGGTTTTCCTACCTCCCAAGCCCCTCCCCCAAGAGGAAAACATGGGGAGCAGATTGTTTATCTGGTGTTTGGTGGCCGTATAGATTTTGAAGGAAGCTGGGAGTCAACAGCTGTTCCTTGATTGCCATTGGGTAGCGGATCTTTAGACTTTTTCTTTTTGGGTTGAACTCTTTTGGGTTTTGATTGGACCCACACAAACTATGTAGCACGTTTTGCAGAGGGGTCGTTACAGCAACCAAGCCAAACGGGTTTCTTTGCAGCCGAGGTCCTGCAACGCCTTGACGTCGGAAGGGATCTCCACCTTACTCCCGGCCTGCATCAAGCTGCAGAAGCTGGAGAGACGCACGCGGTTTTCATGGCTCTTGGGCACCTTCCCCATTCTTTCCAGGGAACCTTCTTTCTAGACCTCCAGAAACCCAGGGGAAACGGCCAGATTTTGAAAAGAAGGATGGCTGAAAAGAATGGACAAGGAATCAGCCCCTAGAATGGCACGGGGTTTTTTGGAGCAGAGGGGGCCCTTCTTTGTTTTGCGATCGGCGCGAGAGATGCAGGGAATGAGGAATGGAATGAGAAATGGTCTGACCCGAATATAAACTGTCCAACTGGTGGTTTTTCCTGTGGGGAATCCCCTTCCGGTTCATTCCCTCATTCCCTGAGCACGAGCCATCAGTTTTGTTGGACCCGTATGGGGACCCCTTTTTGTCGGTTATCGGGAGATGTGGCCAGCTTCCTGTGGAGCCCCAGTTTTGCATGGCGTTCAACATGCACAAAGGTTTTGGAAACACCCATGCTCAGCACCTGCAGATTGAGATCTTCACAAAAAGGGTCCCAAAAATGAGATTTCATGGGAACCAGCAGGAAGTTCTGCGGCAAATTTGCAAAATACTCACCAAACCAAGGATGTGCTGTAGAATTTCCTGCTGGCTTAGTGGAATATGCCTCCAAAAAGAAGTGCTTTTTGGGACCCGTTCCACCCCGAAAAAGGGGAGCAGTCGCAGGACATCTCCGACACCTCGTGCCGCGGCGAGCTCATCCATGCGAAGCTGTGCGATTTGCTTCAGAGCCTCATGCGAGTTCGGAGGGTGAGGCATGTGCCGCCGGCGTTCTTGGCAGAACTCGTGTTTTAGTCCTGCCATTTTCTGGAAAGAATGGGCCGGCACGGCTGGAAACTTAATTCCCTTGTTAGCCTTTGGTTGCCTCCTTCCTTGCCGAGCAGCAAAGAACTACCTTGGTGCAGGGTCTGAGTCTGGCCCAGGACAGAGGAGCCGCCCCACCGTCCAAACTAGGTATACGGCACATAGCCGGCCGTGCGGTTGTCTCATGCACGTCACCGCCTCTGCGCTCATGCGCTGTAAAAATTCCACGGGGGAAACGTGTTTTCCTGAGACACACCCTGATGCGCCGCAATTACAAGCAGTTTCACATGCAAACCTATGTTTCGTCCCACGGGCGCCACGTTATTCAAGAGTTCGAGGACTGTCTCGCAATGGGGTGCAACTACTTACAAAGACACTGCGAACACCATTTTGCATGCCGAGAGCCTTTGTAGCACCGTCCTTGCTGAGCATCATAATTATCACCGTGCTTGTCACAGAAAGGCGAGCCCCAAAAAGAAAAACCCTTTGCACACGTTGATGTGTGGTCGCTTGGTGTCATGTGAATGTATTAAACACCTCCATTTTGCCCTCATGACACTGGCAAGGACCCCATGTTCAATATCGACATCCTGATAGGCCACAAAACCCTCTGCAAACGTCGATGTGTGGTTGCTTGGTGTCATGTGAATGTATTCACTGGCCGGGCCCCCATGTTCAAAGTCGACATCCTGATAGGCCACAGAATGTTTATTGACACACTTGCAAGGGTTTCCTTTTGCTACTTGTGTGAACCCTCTGCACAACAGAAAATGCCCCTCCACTTTCAAAAGCAAAACATAGTCCAAATGCATCGTGACACGGCAACGAACATATTTACATCCCCCCCCCCCACGTGCGCTGCTGCGTGTACGATGGGCTAACGCAAAGCACGGTGCATGCCGACGAACGTAATTACACCCCGACCCCCCCATTCCCCCCCCCCGCCCCCCACGTGCGCTGCTGCGTGTACGATGGGCTCACGCAAGGCGCGGCGCATGCCGACGAACGTAATTACATCCCCACCCCACCCCCCCCGCACCCCCCCCCCAATCCCCCCCCTTCAACCCCCCCATCCCCCCCTCCCAACCACCCAATCAGCTGAAAACCCCACGGCCGTCTATGTGCCGTGGACCAACTACGCACACCCCAAAGATCTGCCATACACTTGTTCAAATCCAACCAAGTGAGGTTGAAGGGAAGTGATTTGGGGATTCTTTCCTGTTTCTGAGAACAAGGCGCAGGCTAGCGGGCGCACGGGCATACAATTTGTCAGATCTTGCTGAGTTGATCATGGAGTTTGAGGATGTTTTGCCCATCAAGGGTGCTCAAAAACTGGTCACTAACCATGCTTAGAGCTTCCTCACCATGGTGGTAAGTCCCTTCAGCGGGATAAATCACCATGAGTAAACCACTGCGTACCAAATCCGTCGCAACTATGCAACCCCTTCTTTTTCTATTGGAACCCCCTTAAACCTTCCCCCCCCTTTGTAGGGGAACCCCCTGAACCCTTTTTGCTAAACCCACCCCCCCCTTCCCCCCCTTCCTCCCCCCACGGACCCCCAATCCCTCCATCCATCCATCCCTCCCCCCCCCCGCAAGGAAGGCCTCGGGGCTTAGCTCCTTGGGCGTGGCCTTCAACTCCATGGAGCCCCGCCCCCTGCGGCGCATCGCGCGGCAGATCGCGGCCGCGCCGGCGCCCGAGCCTCGGGCGGCGAAACTCTTGGGCGGAGACAGATGGGATGGACTCATCTCCTGGGATTCCTGGGGTTGGAAACCCTTCTGACGTGGGGTTGAAACGGGGGTCCCCCTTTCGTTTTCTTGGGTTTCTTGCAACTCAACACACCTGGCAGGCTCTGGGGTCCTGGAGCTTACTTTTCGGGCTTGGACCATTTTGGTAGACCAAACAGTTTGGACATGTTCTTTTTTGGCTGATCCACTCGGGAAGTGAGAAGCGGTGGCAGGCGGATTTTCTTTTGAATGCAAACCTGGCATAGGTTACACAAAAATCGGGTGTTCAGATTCTGGTTCACAGAAAAAGCCAGCATTAAGAGCCGAATATGTGGGTATGTCTCGAAGTTCAATCAGGCTGGCCCAGCCTTGCAGAAGGCGCTTCACTAGAGCTTCCCTTGCTGAGTTGTGGGTATGAAGCCTTAGACAGGAAGGGCGACAAGAACGTCGGCGTTCCCCATTGGAACGAATCGGCTGGGCTCACCCAAAAGCGGTTTTGCTTTGGGGTGGAGGGGGGTGTGACAACATGTGGGCGCTCCAGGTTGCAAGCCCTGAACATGGCCTGCACTGCTATGGAGACTGATGGCGTTGTTGCGCTGGCAGCTGCTCGGTATCCATGTCAAGCGGGTGCTGCACTTGTGCAATTTGAGGACCCTACAGCTCTCCGAACCAACTGACCGAGCTATTGTCTAAGCTCAAATCCTTGGTTGTTCAGTTCAATTGTCCAACCCCCCTGTTCAACACCCAGAGTTCTTCATAGGGCCATAGGGTCACTTTTCGTGCCCGTCCTAAGCCGCACTTAGGACGGGCTCTTGAACTCGCAAGTGAGCAACCTTCGTGAGCTGGACTTGTCCGAAAATGGCATCTGCGAGTTGGAGGCGAGAGTGTGCCAGTGGCGCCTTTACTTGCTGCTGCTCAGAAGGGAATGAGAAATGGAATGACCCCTACCAAAAATAATCCCCTATGGTGTCCTTTAAGGGAAGTGCCTTTAGTCAGCAGCCTTGTTTTTTCCTCCCATGTCCACTGCAGGTTTGGGCCAATGAAGCGTGTCGCCCAGCTGCTCAGTAGATTCCACCTTACTCGCGTTTTGCTTTGCTGGATGGATGGGCGGACAAATGGATGGATGGATGGCTGGCTGGCTGGCTGGATGGATGGATGGATGGGTGAGTTTCGGGGGGGTGGGGGGTGGGAGGTGCGTCCGTATGCGCGCGTATGCGTGTGAGTGCGTGTGCGTGCGTGTGCGTGTGTGTCCTGTATGTGTCCTGTATGTGTATGTTCAATGTTTGTTGTTTGTGGTTTGTGTGTGTATGTGCGTGTGCGTGTGTGTTGTTTGTGTCTTGTGCGTTGGTGTGCTTGTGAAAGGAATGCAGAAAGAAGGGGGTCAAAACAAACTCACTCAAGACCTTTCAATCAATTGGCAGAACAGCTTCACTAGGGTTACATTGCCCTTGGGCCTTGGGCCATTGACCTTTTCCTCATGCGTTTTCCCGCTCCCCCACAAACAGTTCAACCCTTTGGGCAGCCACCCATGCGGTTTGCTCGCTTGCCAGGCGGCCGCATATTTGGCCAGGATCGTCACCGGCACTGAGCTGCAGACCTTGCGCTTGAACCGCAACCCCCTGGGAGATGAAGGACAGCCACGCGCTTTTTTTTGAAGCCTCGGTCACCAGGCGTTGGACAGACCCCTTGTTCAAAGCCACGTCCTTGTGGTTACCTAAGGGACCGGGGGCTGGTTGGTTGCCCAACCCTGCCGACCTGCGCCTGATGCTTTTGCAAGTGCATTTTGCAGGAGCATGCGAGCTTGCTGACGCATTGCAGGATGAAAGATGCGACTTGGGCTTTGAACTGGTGTCGCGCTTTGCCCATCAAACAGAGCAAAGGCCCCCCCTCGACCGTGGAAACTGGTCACAGATCGACTTGCCTAGCTGGGATCGGCAGGCCGACCCCAAACCCTTTGGACAAGGAATCAACCCCTGCAAGGGGTACAGCGGAGCAAGACTCAATGAAGCTCAACACCCCGCAGCGGAAAAAGTGTCATGTGCTACCCCGTAGAATCCCAGTGCATTGCATGGGTGCTTTGCCCATCAAGTTCTAGTTTGCACAGAAAAAAGTTGAAGAAGGGGATGGATCCATGTTCGATTTGTCACACCCTCCAACCAAAAGCAGATGGATCCAATTTTGACGTTTTTCAGGCCCTCCAACTGTTCAACCCCCAAAAGCACGAAAGAGAAAACACCAAAAAAATATTCTCCTTTTGGCCGTGCCTACAAGAAACTCTCATTTGGTGGTCCCCGAAAATCTACATTTTAGGGCCCCAAAAATGGTTTGCAGCGTCTTCTGGATGCCATGGCTTCCATTCTTCCATGTGATATCTAGGTTTTCGAGTGGTGCCCTTTTACCCTTTTCTTGGGGAGGGTTCCCCTACTAAACTAGACTACAGAAACAGAAATCAAACGGCACCCTTCTAACCTCAAACTACTGGGAGGACCTAGAATACCTTCCTGACACGGCGGGAGCGTTTTTTTTTTTTGGTTTTTGTTTTTTTCTGGGCCGCGGCCGCCGAAAGGTTTGGGGGGCCCGGCGCTGCGCGTCCTGGAGCTGGGGAGCTGCCGCGTGGGCAAGATGGGCGCCACAGCCCTGGCCTTCGCCCTGAGGCGATTTCCCGCGGATCGGGGCCAAAGCGCGCTTTTGGCGGCTCCAAAGCGTTTTCGGAGTTCGCGGAAATCAGGGCACCACAAAAGAGGGCCGGAACCCGAAGGATGGATGCTGCGTGTTTGTTTTTCGGGGTCCCATTGCTATTTGCAAGCACTTGGAACCTGGAACTACTTAAATCCGTTGTGCAATGCCCTTCATTGACTGTTTGTATCTTTTAGACTTATTCTTGTTGTTTGGTAAGGTTTTCTCAAGCATGTCAATAATCCACAAATGATTCCCTTGTTCACGACTCTGAGCAAGTGGACAAGTGGGGGGGTTCCACATGTTTAAACAAAGGCTTGGCCAGAACCAGCGCTCTAATCTTGCGAAGCTTTTCTTCCTTCCAGGCTCAGATTGTAAATGAGATATGGCACCCACACTGGGCGGCCGGTTTCACCTCGGGCTTCTCGTTTTCCAAAGCAAAAGGTACCAACCCAGTGTCAGAGGTGCGTGAGCTCCCAAAAGAGTGTGCCGGTGGAACATCAGCGTGCGGACTTCATGTAATCTCTCCTTGGCATGATGCAAAAGGTTGGGCTGCCTGCGGCATGAAAAATTCCCCACGTGCCAGCCTGATGCTGGGAAGGGATGGGTCCAGCTTGCGCCAGGGAGAACGAGCGACTGCTGTCACTACGGCTGCCCCTGGTCATCTGCGCGCTGTGTTCGGGGATGAGATGGCAATATACTGGCAACCCCGGATGAATAAACCCCGGTTTTGTTAATCGGGGGGGTGTCCCTGGATTTAGTGGGGATTCATCACTCTCCCGATATTAAACCGGGGCGTATTAATTTGGGGTCAACATTGGCAGAAAGCAGCCCGCTGACTGAGGTCTGACAACTTTTTGGACGACACCCTCGATATCACACTCATCGAGGCCCGCATCAATCCAAACCCTGCTTGCAGCTGTTCAAAGAGAAGCCAAGCCTGGAACCAACCAGCACCCTCCCGAGAACGAACAAGGAACCTGAAAGACTTCCCTGGGATTCCGCAAATGTCTCTTTCAGGTTCCATGTTTGTTGGGAAAGGGTCCCAAGCCATTCAGGGTCAGCCATTCACATAACTTGCAGATTAACCCTGGAGCTCCCAACACATTTTGGCGAAACCGCCCGGTTTTTCCATTGGGAGCCGTGATGGGCTGGCGATGGTGCATTCCATATGAGAACTGGGCGCAGCCTGGGAGCACCTCCCAGGCCCTGCAGACCATCCAGCAGCTTCAACTGGAAAGCAACAGGCGGGCAGAGTGGAGCGGGCATTGGTACAACAACCTGGAGATACCTGGCCCCCATGTCCTGTCGACATGTAGATATACACACAAACACATACACACATACATACATACATACATACAGACATACAGACATACAGACATACAGACATACATGCATACAGACATACAGACATACAGACATACATGCATACAGACATACAGACATACACACATACAGACATACAGACATGCACACATATGTATATATATATATATTCATGCAAACATGAGCAACCGACCAATCATCCGATTGAACATGAATTCATTCGCTCAGAATACCCTCAAAAATCGAGATGTCCCCGTAAAACGAGATGCTCCCCAAGCTCACGAGATCAGAACGAGAGAGTGTTGAAGAAAACCGTGCGAAACGAGATATTTCGAGGTCTTAGTTATTTTTGCGTGCAGTTGGCGTTGGGGTGCGCTAAAGCAACGCACCACAATGAGTCCAGAAGCATGGCTCAACTACGTGAGCCATTGCCAAAGCGCGCTTCGCGTACTCACTGCCAGTGCGATTTGTGAACTTGAACACATAGAAAAGACAACACACACAGACACACACACACACACACACACACTGCTGCAAAGATGACCCCCTCTTGATTTCAATCGTGTTTTCGATAACACAAGTCTACGCGAGATCAAACCAATTTCGGCATCATGGAAGACAAGATAAGCAGTCAGCTGCTTATATACATATTCATTTTGTGCATATATAATTATGTATATATATGTATAAAGAAAACATATATTTATAAGATGTATAACATACACATATCTTTTGCCTGCTGTTCCATCAAGTTTCCCCATCTCAGCTCGACATAGGCTGTCGCACCGGAGCCTGGCGCGAGTGGCGGAGGTGTGTGCCCGGAACCGGCGCCGGGTGCGAGACAAGGCGGGAGTGGTGTTTGGTGGTGTTTGGTGTGTTTGTGTGTGTGTTTGTTATAGTTTCTTTATTTATTTGTTTGTTTGTCTGCCTGCCTGCCTGTTTGTTTGCTCGTTTGTTTCTTTGTTTGTGTGCGCGTGTGTGTGTGTGTCACCATTTGTCTATGCATGTTAGTAAAGAGCACCCTGCACGGGTGTTTTTGTGGGCTGCGTTTCTTCCATTTGGGTCTGTGTTGTTTTGAGGGTAACCATGTTGGGTGTGGTTGTCACGGGAACCCAAAGCAAATGCCACCAATTCAGGTGAGTCCTCTATTGGCTATGTGTGCTTCGGTCAAAGCACTCTTGAACTTGGGGTTGGTAAGGATGGGTGATCCTTTGATGTTGCTTTACACGAGGATCCATTGTAATATCGGACCCGCTTCTCTTTGAGGGGGGTTCACTTTTGTAGAATAGTTTGGGCTAAAGCGTTAACCGTAGGTGGTCGCTTGTCTTGACTCTTAATAAGTATCCACTTGGGCCACCATTTTGGCTCAAGTGGACCTTTTGACATTTGGTCTTGTGATTTGAAATAGTTATACTGGCAGCGCTGGGCCATGGCTGATGTGCCAAATCGAAGGTACGCCAACCCCAGGCCAGACCTGAGGCCAGTGCGTGCCCAAATGGAAGCGGTTTGGGAGCATTTCTTCATGCTATGGACCATCCGAGCTGGCGTGACATGCAGGAGCGAGTACGAGACTCGAACGGCGCTCCGGCTGGACAGCTGCCAGTTCATGTGGACGGGCGTTAGCATGCTGTCCATGGCGAGAAGCCACCAGTGGAACTACGAGGCATCAGATCGTACATCCCTGCTCCAGGATGCAATACTTCAGCAGGTGCCAAAAAGATCCCGATTTTCCATTTCCGTCCTGCTGGGTATCTTTTGCAGCTTTTCAGCTGCGCAGGTGGTTCAGGATAACTTAAGCGACGTCCTCAAGGCAAGGACGCTGCGGGGCGCGGCAGAAGTGCTGGTGGCCAAGTCGGAGGCGCCAAGCGCGTTGTTCCCGAGCTTCAGCATTTGGGGGCGGGTGAAGCAGCACATTTTGCAGAAAAAGAACGTGGAGGAAGCCAAAGACTGGCTGCGCGAACAGAACTTCTTCGTTTCAGCGTATGCTGGACAACTACCCCTGCGAGACCAGGCCGGATGCACACGCAACAAGCGAGATGTGCTGAAGGAGTTTCTGGCGAAGGGTCTGCAAAGTGTCGGCGCCCTGTGCGCCAAGAACATCTTTCGCATCTACACCCGTGCCCGCGTCCCCAAGGTGCTCCTCAAAGAGGACTCCCAGTGGTCCCTGACTGGGCCTGGGGCCCGCAAGTTCTTGAACCTGGCTGCGGGGCGAGAAGCTAGCTTGAACACGGACACGTGCTCCACAGCGGCTTTCGAGCTATACAGCCGCGAGCTGCGCCTGGCCTGGCTGTCCTACCGGAGGGCGGGCACCCGATTGATCAAGCGCTATGGGGCAGAGACACTGGAGGGTCTGGCGCTGGCGAAGCACCTGAGCGACATGTCCACGACAGATGCCTTTCAGTTTCAGTGCTGCGAGTCCATCAAAGCACTGCAAACGTTCGAGCCTGCGCCGCCCGGGTTTCACTTTCCGGAGTGGATGTGGGCCTCCAACGTCCGGCTTCGCGAAAAGACCCCGGACCCGTCCAAGAAGCGATCTGCCGCATGCATTGAGTGAAAGAGAGACCCGGGAAGAGGACTTGGGGCCCCCCGGGGCCTTTTCCCGGGTCTCTCTTTTGAAGTGCGTGCAAGGCGCCGGATCACACGTTTCTTGCCTTTGACGGAGGAGGTGATGGAGGCCAGCTCTTGAAGAACCTGGACTTGGACCTCTTCCGTGAGAAGCTATTGGACAAGCTGGGTGCGGACTGGGGGAGACCCACACCGGAGCTCCTCCAGGCCCAGACCACTGCGGAGGCGGCGAAAGCGAAACACCAAGCCAGACAGGCGAAGGGCTCCCTCGAAACCAGGCTGCTCGCGCCCATAGCGCCTCCCTTCAGTGCTTGGCCTAGTCAGGTCCGTGTCGCCATTGAAACTGGGGTCTTCGAGCCGACAACGGCATGGAGGGACTTCAGCATGGACGACCTCACATCCCTCACGGACTCCTACCTTGAGGCCAAGGCGGTCATCTCGCTGGGTAGGAATCCCTTCCCGGCGGCCCTCCTGGCAGATCTGCCGGACCTGGAAGGGGTCCAGGTGCCGAGGGCCCTGACAGGCCGCCCACCATCTCCTCAGCCTCGCGCTCTGGCGGGACGAGCTCAGGTGCCGAGGGCCCTGACAAGCCGTCCGCCACCCCGGTGGGCCTGGACCCCTCCGCCCCTGGGTGCCGGACAGGTGCCGATGGCCCTGACATCCGCCCCAGGGGAGGTGAGGGCGATGAGGGGATCGTTTACCCCCCCATCACGGCGGACAACGTCCACGGCGTGGTGGGTAAGGACTACCGGAAGAAGAACTATCCGGTGGAGATGAAGCATGTCTTCTGGGCGCACATGGAGTGTGGCCTGGTCCTGAGCTCCGTCACCCCGTGGGAACTCATCCCGAAGACAAAAGGGGAGACCCGGGGGGGCTACATGTGCAAGTATTGTAAGGGGTACTGGCGTGCCGGGGGAGGGGGCACCCGCCTCCTCCAGATCCGGGCCGGCAAGGCCATCTTGCAGCTGGTGTTGGACGAGCCGCCGGAGGGCCTCTACAACCGCTGGGTGAAGGAGCGGCTGGAGTACTACCGCCGGGTGGAGCCCTCGGCCCCGTTGCGGGACGTCTCCATCGTGGACCAGAAGGTGCCCAGGTTCAGATTCAGCCAGACCACCCAGACAGGCCACGTCTCCAATGCCATCTGGGAGCTGATTCTGCGGAATCCGGAGGCGGCTCGATGACATCGCGAAGGGGGCCGCGTGATGATGCGGGACAACGCCATCTTCCGGCACATCATCCAGGACCGCGACCAGCCGGAACGGATGCGCAGCGCACCCCGGGGGTGGGACAGCTGCCGAAGGCGCTGATATCCCCCCCCAGGGAACAGAGCAGGCCCAGACTTGCACCAGGCGAGAGAAATTGGCGCGGCTTGGGCTGATCCGGGGTGCGTCTTGGTTCCCCTCTCTTGTCTGGTTTTCCCTTTTCGGGGCGGCTCCCTGGGTCCCCCCCCTTTTTTCCCCCGTTCCCTCCGTTTCGGGGTTGGCTTTCCGGGGTTTTGGGGGGCCCCCCCTGTTGTTTGATTGGGGTTTGCACCTAGGGACTAACCCCCCGGCTCGAGTGGATCATGATGATGTGGAGGCCCCGCCTCCCTTCCCCGTTTGGGACGACCTTCCTCGGGGCGCCTACCGCGCTCCAGTTGATTTTGCATGACCTGGGATTTGCACCAGTGCAGTCGGACGGGGAAATCCTCGTGGCGTGCTGCCTGGAATGGGTCAAGAAAGGACAAGGTCGCCAACCCGGCTGCGGTGGTCTTTGACCCGCGGCCGTGGACACGGATCGTGGGGCTGGCACCTGACGGCAACCACGTCCTGGTGGCCTCGGACACCTACAACTTGATCCTCGCGAGGATACTCGGCTCCCAACCACAACCGCTGGAGGAGGCGGATTTGGAGCTCGCTACTAAGACCCTGCAACAACTTCTGTTTCGTGCGGCAGGCGCCAGGCAATCGCACACCTATTCTCCACTGGAAATGGAACAGGCCATCCGGGACCGCGAAGAGTGGATCCTTTCCGGATCGATTGAGGCCCCGGATGTCCTGGCAGTGGCCAACAAGTGGCGGCATTGGAAACCAGGGAAGATCAAAACCCAATTGCCGACATCTCAGAGAGCGTTGGAACAACACCTGAGGGCCAGGTGGTTGGAACGCCTCCTGGGATACTTCGTCCCCTTCCGGCACCAGATCCCCTACATGCACCAGGTGATGGGGGCCAGGGAGCTGGAGGAGTTTGGCCACCTCTTTGGTGATGCCCGATTCCGTACCATCCGGGCACACTGCTTGGCCTATGAGGGCATGCGCAAGATCGGCTTCCAGAACCTCCCCTGGACGGCTGGCGACGTCCGGTACCTCATGAACCAGGCGGTCACGTTGGAGGTCACCCCGGCGAAGCTCCAGAAGTGGTGGGGCACTTTGAAGTGGCTCTCCATTAAACTCGGCATGCTCAACGTTGACGAACACAAACAACTCCTGGAGAAGCGGAAAGCCATCCAGGAGACGCTGGTGGACACCCAGGTCAAGCCACAACGCAAGGCGGTGGTTCCGACCCGGGCAATTGTCTGGGCCCTGGAACAAGGGGCAGAAGGGGCCCCGCCGGAGAACCGGGTCCCGGAGCTGACCAAAGCAGTGGACAGGTACATCATGGCGATGGCCAGGTTCAACCTGGCCTGCAGTGCGCGCTTCAACGACGTGCAGCACACCTCGCCGCAGACGGTCAAGGCCACGAGCAACACCCTGGAGCTGCTGGCCTGGCAAACGAAGACCACGTCGGCAGTGGCCATCAAACGGAACCCGGTCCCGCTCATCGCCCCATTGTTCTCCTTCTCGGGGGCCAGATGGTGGATCCCCTTGGAGCGGTGGTGGAAGAGATTCAGGGCCTCGGAGGAGTTCCGCGAGATGGACTACCTGATCCCCACGATCAACAAGGACAGGACGGGCTTCATCCCCCGCCCAGGAACCCCAGACAGGTCCCTGAGGTGGCTTAAAGACGCCTTGGGGAAGCAAGGCGCGCCAGCCAAGGACGTGGCTGAACTCTCATGGTACTCCTTCCGGGTTTTCATGCCGGATTTGGCATTCCAGGCGCACATACCGAGGGACCAGCGCCAGTACCTGGGAAACTGGTTCAAGGAGTCCACGGCGGATGTCTACACCCGGGAGAAGCGACACGTGGTGTGCTCCATCTGGGACCAGGTCCTCCAGAAGCTCCCGTCCATGCAACTCGAGGCAGGGAGGGCGGTCCGAGTCGACCTCGGACATGAGGACTGGGAGGACAAGGTGGAGTGCCCG